AGAAAAACTCAAATGGTGCAAAGATTACATTAAGATAGCCTATTGTATTATCAAATTGTTGAGGTGTCAGGATGAAATCTGATTGACTAAACCATCTAAACTGTATGTCACCTGATTGAGCGATTGAATGAGAGCTCTGTCCATTTTCTGAATTCTCCTTTCTTTGTTAGATGATCAAGCAGAAGTTTTCTGTGCCCTCTCCTGGTTTGACTTTGAAACTGCATAACAGTGATCTTTAAACTTCATTGGGTGGGGCTTTTCTTCAGTAAATTCATGCTCTCCCTCCCCTTCCTCTTGCCTTCGAAGGCTCATTTTGAACTACAGAGAGACAGAGGGGCTGCAAGAACTGTTCATCATTCACTCACCTACTAAACATTTATTATATTCGTTTTTTTTAAACAAAGTACTGCCCTTGGAGGTCAGCCAAAAGGAAGAAGCAGATATTGGAACTTAAAATTTACTAGAACAGAGCTTCGGAACCTTTTTCCTGTCACGGCACACATAGAAAATTACACAATTTTAAGAACGTAAATGGGAAAAGAATTTGAAAAAGGATAGATACATGTATATATATAACTGAAGCAGTTTGCCATACACCTGAAACTAACACAACATTGTTAATCAACTATATTCCAATATAAAATAAAAATTAAAAAAAATTACACAATTTGTATGTCCCACTGGGGTAAAGGGGAAGAAGGGGGAGGAGGGATTTAGGGGCATCTATATGGGATTTGGTAAAAAAAAAAATTCCATTTTCTACATATTGTATCATTATGATTTGAAAAATAAAATGAAAGTATTAGAGACAGCATTAAATATTGAACTTATATAAAGTTTCCAAATAAAATATTTTCCAAATTTTCACTTTCTTCTGTGAATGTAACTATTTTTTCTCTTTTTAAATTTAATTTTAAAATTTTCTTTTGAATGTAACTTTTAAATATCAGGTTATGCTTAAAATGGTTACATGCAATAATGACCAGAACTTTTCAAGAAGGATCTCTTCAAGTTCTTTTTTTTGTTTTTGTTTTTTATTTTATTTATTTGGCTGCGTCAGGTCTTAGTTGTGGAACTCAGGATCTTCGTTGAGGCGTGGGGTCTCTTCGTTGTTGTGCTTGGGCTTCTCTCTAGTTGTGGCGTGCAGGTTTTCTCTCTCTAGTTGTGGCACGTGGGCTCCTGGGAACATGGGCTCTGTAGTTTTGTGGCATGCGGGCTCTCTCATTGAGGCACAAGAGCTCAGTACTTGTGGCCCGTGGGCTTAGTTGCCCCGCAGCATGTGGGATCTTAGTTCCCTGACCAGGGATCGAACCCACGTTCCCTGCATTGGCAGGTGGATTCTTTACCACTGGACCACCAGGGAAGTCCCTCTCTTCAAGTTCTTGATAGCCATGAACAATTAGAAACTCAAATAGATAATACAAATTTAAAATTTTAACATTAAAAAACATAAAAGTTAAAATATTTAAAGAGGGCTTCCCTGGTGGCGCAGTGGTTGAGAGTCCGCCTGCCAATGCAGGGGACACGGGTTCGTGCTCCGGTCCGGGAGGATCCCACATGCCGCAGAGCGGCTAAGCCCGTGAGCCATGGCCGCTGGGCCTGCGTGTCCGGAGCCTGTGCTCCGCAACAAGAGAAGCCATCGCACTGAGAAGCCCACGCACCACAATGAAGAGTAGCCCCCGCTCGCCACAACTAGAGGAAGCCCACGCACAGCAACGAAGACCCAACACAGCCATAAATAAATAAATAACAACAACAACAAAAATAATGACAGCTCTGACTTAAAGCACATTCCTTCAGGGGTGATATCCACCTGGTATTCACTGTTAATGGCCAGCTGGCATATGTTCTTTTTTTTTGGCTGCATTGGGTCTTCATTGCTGCACATGGGCTTTCTCTAGTTGTGGTGAGTAGAGGCTACTCTTCGTTGCGGTGCGCGGGCTTCTCATTGTGGTGACTTCTCTTGTTGCAGAGCACGGGCTCTAGGCGCGTGGGCTTTAGTAGTTGTGGCATGCAGGCTCAGTAGTTGTGGCTCGTGGGCTCTAGAGCGCAGGCTCAGCAGTTGTGGTGCACGGGCTTAGTTGCTCTGCGGCACGTGGCATCTTCCCGGACCAGGGCTCGAACCTGTGTCCCCTGCGCTGGCAGGCAGATTCTTAACAACTGTGCCACCAGGAGAGCCCCTGGCATCTGTTCTGATTGGTCAATATCTGTTCCATCTCAGATGTTAAATATTTTTAATGTCACCCTGCCCATAAGCATTGTTAAAGCAGTCACACCCTGAAGTTAGCTTGGACACCAGCCAAAAATGGACAGAAATATCTGATACTATGTGAAGACAGATTTGGGTCAGCCATCTGGGGCTGCTCTGGCCAGAGCCCTCCAACCAGTGTCCTCGCCCCTCCAGCCCTGACCAGCTGCATCTCGGGTTGCTGCTGCTCCCCCTTGGCCCCTGGAACTCACTTCCTCTAGCAGGGCCCTGGACGCTTGTCTGTAACGTGCAGCGGTGCACTCTGCAGCTGGCCTCTGAAGTTGATGGCCAGGTGGTAACACATGGCAAGCAGCAAATGCTGCTGATCCTTCTGCCTACTTGTAGAGATTGAAAGGCAGGATGACAGACTCTGTTCTGCTTGGATCATATCCGCAGGAGCTCCCCATGGGCTGCATGCACCCAGAGGTGTTTAGTCTAGCTGGCAGCCCCAAGGGCCATGGGATCTTTATGTTGTATCCAACCTGTAACCCAGTTGCAATATACCAGTGTACTATGATCATGGTGAGGAAACTCTGCAGTAGAGGAAATAAAACATGCAATGATAACGCTACCTATTATCAATGGATGGTTTACAGTGCTTTCACAGTGGACCTCATTTAACCCTCATAAGAACCACCAGTAAAGATTATCATCCCATTTTACAGAGTAGGAAATAGGTTCAAAAGGGTGAGTTGCTCAGATTGACATGTTAGGTCCACCCTTCCCTGACTGGGGTGCCTTAAGGATGTACACATTGGTGGGCTAGGTTAAATGATGAGTTATTGGAGTGACAGATTTACTTGAAAGTTTTTGGGTAAGCTGTTTTTTCTGGGGGGGCTGTGCCACGCAGCTTACAGGATCTCAGTTCCCTGACTACTAAGCCACCAGGGAACTCCCTAGGGAAATTTTTTTTTTTTTTTTTGCGGTACGCAGGCCTCTCACTGCTGTGGCCTCTCCCGTTGCGGAGCACAGGCTCCGGACGCGCAGGCTCAGCGGCCATGGCTCACGGGCCCAGTTGCTCCGTGGCATGTGGGATCCTCCCGGACCGGGGCACGAATCCATGTCCCCTACATCGGCAGGCAGACTCTCAACCACTTGCGCCACCAGAGAAACCCCCCCTAGGGAAATTTTAACTCGTAAATTATATAGATGTTTCTTTGTTTGTTTTTGTCTTGTTTTGTTTTGTTTTGGCCGGCGTTGCACAGGATGCGGGATCTCAGTTCCCCGACCAGGGATTGAACCCATGCCCCCTGTAGTGGAAGCTCGGAGTCCTAACCACTGGACCGCCAGGGAATCCCTTAACTGGTAAATAATATAAAATATTTGGAAATTCTGCCAACAATGATTGAGACTCACTGATAGTGGACCCAAGATTTAAGTTGTTTCTTTAAAAAAAAAAACTTTATTATTAATTTATTTTGGCTGCTCCGCGTCTTAGTTGCCACACACGGGATCTTTGTTGCAGCATGCAGACTTCTTAGTTGCGTCATGCATGCGGGATCTATCTCCCCGACCAGGGAACGAGCCCGGGGCCTCCTGCACTGGGAGCATGGAGTCTTACCCACTGGCCCACCAGGGAAGTCCCAAGATTTAAGTTGTTTCTGATTCCAGATCCCAATTTATCCCAGGTAGAAAAGTGTTAAGGTTTTATGAGAGTTACAGAGAGAGTCGTGTAAGCACGGGTTTCAGCTGAACATTGGGCATGTGGAGATGGGAGCTAGGGAGAGAGCATTCCAGCAAAGGAAAGGAGGCAAGAAAGTGGGGCTGTGTAAGGTGAACAATGGCTGGAGAGACAAGGGCGTGAAGATGCATAACTGGAAATACGATTAGAAAGTGGATTGGCTTCAGGAAGCTTTATCTGGCAGGAAAGTCTATGTGACGCTAGCTGTGGTGAGACCAATTGGAAAGCTAGAGGTGGGAAGGCTTGAACCAGAGTAGCCGTGGAGAGCTTTCACATGGGAAACCATCACAACTTACCAAAGGATGGTGGGGGAGAGGGGCAGGATCAAAGAGAGGGATGTGGGAAGTTGCTGGCTGAACTTGTAGCCCACCTGAGGTGTTGTCAAAACATCCAGGTAGGGCTTCCCTGGTGGCGCAGTGGTTGAGAGTCCGCCTGCCGACGCAGGGGACACAGGTTCATGTCCCGGTCCGGGAGGATCCCACATGCCACGGAGCGGCTGGGCCCGTGGGCCATGGCTGCTGGGCCTGCGCGTCCGGAGCCTGTGCTCCGCAATGGGAGGGGCCGCGGCGGTGAGAGGCCCGTGTACCGCAAAAACAAAAAAAACATCCAGGTAGGGAGTTAGCAAATGGGTGACTGGAGCCCAGGGCTGGGATATGGGTTGTGAGTTATCTGCCTCTAGGTGAAAATGGTTACCTTGCTATTGGAAGAGACTGCCATCAGAGAAGGGGCCATCGGAGAGCAGGGGCACACCTGGTCAAAGAAGCCACCTGCGGGAAATTGAAAGGAAGGGCGTGTTCGGCAGCAGCGAATGATGAAGAGGAAGGTTGGAGCTGCTGTCACATAGTGCCTGGCACATAATAGGCACGCAAATACCTGTGAGAAGAATGAAAGAAAAAAAAGACAGTAAGAAAATGATACATTCAGGACAAACCATATGAAAGAAATAGTGGTAGAATCTAGGCATAAGGGTGTTAAACTAGTAAGGACCTACTGTACAACACAGAAAACTCTACTCATCTGTAATGATCTATATGGGAAAAGAAGATAAAAAAGAGTGGACAGATGTATAGGTATAACTGATTCACTTTGCTGTACACCTGAAACGAACACAACGTTGTACATTAACTAGACTCCAATAAAAATTAATTAAAAACTAAAAAGGTGTTGAGGGAATAACCAAGAGATTCTTGCATTTGCTCCAGAAAATGGCAGGGACCTGCTCGGCAGCCTGTGGCCACACTGAATACCTGTTATTGATCTTTAGGAGACTTTGCCTCACCCTGCAGGGTGGTGTGAGTTAATGTGTGATTTTATATAAAGGGACAAATTTAATGCAAACTCGGGCCTTTCCCATTCAATCTCAAGTTCTAGAGATTAAAAAATATATAATACCACAAAATGGCTCCCATAACTGCATTACAGATCACTTCTTCCCCCCCCCTCCCCGCCCCTTAGGGACAAAGAGGACTGCACATGTGGGCTCGCTTCTAAGTCCTTTTTAAAAAAGGTTAGTTTAGAAAGACTCTGCTTCCTGAGACTCCCACCCAGATATTTCTTGGTACATTATTTTTTAAAAAGTGCTCCAATTTCTCTCGCTTAGAGAAAGGTCTTTCCTCTTCAAATCTTTCAGGTTTTTGTGGGATCTTAGTTCCCCAACCAGGGATCGAACACGTGTCCCCTGCAGTGGAAGCCTAAAGTCTTAACCACTGGACTGCCAGGGAAATTGCATTAGGTGTTACTCTGGGAGAAGAAGTTGCCAAGGGCCTGATTTCGGTGCGGAGGGACCCACCTGGGCCAGTGCGGTGGACGTCGGTAGGGAGTCCCGGGCCTGGTTCTAGTTACGAAAGGAACTAGAGGCCGAAGTCCAGGAAGGTGTGCAGGGAGAGAGCGGCCCGATCCCTGGGCCCCTCCCCCGCCTGTGATCTCCAGGCGCCCCTGCCCTTTGAGCCCGGGGCGTCTCGGGCGCTGGCACACACGCCCCGGCCGCTGCGGGGACCAACGGGGCGGGCGGGATGCTGCGGCTGCTGGCGTCCGGCTGCGCCCGGGGCCCGGGGGGCGGCGGGGGCGCGCGGGGGCTGGTTCTCGGGGGTCGCGTGCGTCCTGCGGCGGGGCTCTGCGATCTCGGCAGCAGCCAGAGCCGCCAGGCCTCCGACGCCCCCCGGAACCAACCTCCCAGCTCCGAGTTCGTGGCTCGGTCGGTGGGCATCTGCTCCATGATGCGGCTGCCCGTGCAGGCCTCCCCCGAGGGGCTGGATGCCGCCTTCATCGGGGTGCCGCTGGACATTGGGACCTCCAACCGGCCCGGGGCGAGGTAAGCCCCGAAGGACTCGGGGACACGTGTTGGGACAGCCTGGCGGCCACTGCGCACACAAAACTCATGGAGAGGCGCTTTCCCTCACCCAGGGTCCAAAGTGCCCCCAATCCTTTGAGAGACAGCTGGTTTCCCTCAAGCAACCCTGAGGGCTCAGCTGTGTCATCCATTGGTAAAGAAAGGGGGTTTAAGGACTGAGCCTTCTCCCTGCCCCGTTCCCTGGCCTAGCTGGATGGTGGCTGTGGGTACCCCGGTTTACAGAAGCAGGGGACATTAAGTTTGAGAACAGAAGCTGGTTGCCCTTCCCCAAACCTCTAGATGTCACGTGACTCAAGAATTTGCTCCAAATAAGGCCATTTTTCCTTCTTTTTTTGGTCGCGCAGCCTGCGGGGATCTTAGTTCCCCCACCAGGGATCACCGCATGCCCCCTGCAGTGGAGATGCGGAGTCTTAACCACTAAACCGCCAGGGAAGGCCCCCAAATAAGGCAGTTTTCCTAAGATCAAGTTAGAGAAAGTGAAATCGATTTTTCTAACTATTGAACATCAGCTATTTACGATTCCGCAGCAACAGTTTAGGAAATTGAGGCTCAGGGAGATTAAGAAATCATCTAATGCCATTTAGTAAATTGGTGATTGGTGGGCTTCTAAGTCTGTACCTTTAATCTCTTCACTATATAGGCTAGATCAGTGGTCCTCAACGTGTGTGGGACATTGTCCCCCCAGGGGACATTTGGCAGAGTCTGGAGGCATTTTTGGTTATCACAACGTGGGGGAAGGGCTGCTACTGGCATCTAGTGGGGAAAGACCAGGTTTGCTGCTAAACGTCCTGCAATGTATAGGATGACCCCTACCCCCTGCAGCAGAGTCAGCCAGCCCCAGCGCAGAGCCTGGGAAGCCCTGGCCTAGGCAGAGCCTCTGAACCTTTAGGGATGGCTCACAGGCTGATTCTTTCTCCTCCAGATTTGGACCCCGAAGGATCCGTGAAGAATCAGTGCTGCTTCGGACAGCCAACCCTAGCACAGGAGCCCTCCCCTTCCAGTCCCTCATGGTTGCAGACCTAGGCGATGTGAATGTCAATCTTTACAACCTTCAGGACAGCTGCCGCCTAATTCGAGAGGCCTATCAGAAGATTGTAGCAGCTGGCTGTATTCCTCTGACCTTGGGTAATGGCATCTGCAAGGGAGAGGGTAGTTCTCTGAGCTCAGGGTCTATTTATCATGAGCTGGAGTACGGTTACTTCTCCAGGGGGAGCCACTGGCACTATGGAGACAGTAGGAAAGGGAACATTTTTAGTTCATTTATTTTAACCCCTGGGGAGAGGATATTTACATTTTTGGACTAACGTGACTGACAGGGATGGACCAGGGGGAAGCAAGTGAGGCACTCACCTTGGTGCAAAATTTAAGAGGTGCCAAAAAGTCAGCAATACATATTACTGATTTCCCTTTCTTTTTGCCTCAGGTTCCAGTATGGCTCAGAAGAGCACAGTTGCTGATCCTATCTTTATTTAGAGTTTATCATGGGGGACTTCCCTGGTAGCGCAGTGGTTAAGAATCCGCCTGCCAATGCAGGGGACGTGGGTTCAAGCCCCAGTCCGGGAAGATCCCACATGCTGCGGAGCAACTAAGCCCATGTGCCACAACTACTGAGCCCGCGTGCCTAGAGCCCATGCTCTGCAACAAGAGAAGCCACTGCAGTGAGAAGCCTGCGCGCCGCAAGGAAGAGGAGCCCCCGCTCACCGCAGCTAGAGAAAGCCCGTGCATAGCAATGAAGACCCAACGCAGCCAAAAATAAAAATAAAAAAAAGGGACTTCCCTGGTGGCTCAGTTCCCTGGGACTACCCAATGCAGCCAAAAATAAAATAAAATAAATTTATAAAAAAGAAAAATAAATAAATAAAGTAGCGTGGGCTTCTCATTGCGGTGGCTTCTCTTGTTGTGGAGCACGGGCTCTAGGCACACGGGCTCAGTAGTTGCAGCATGCGGGCTCTGAGGCACACGGGCTTCAGTAGTTGTGGCTCTCGGGCCTAGTTGCTCTGCGGCATGTGGGATCTTCCCAGACCAGGGCTCGAACCTGTGTCCCCTGCATTGGCAGGCGGATTCTTAACCACTGCACCACCAGGGAAGTTCCTATCATGGATCCTTTTTTTTTTTTTTGTTTTTTTTTTTTTTGGTGTCCCTTCAATTTTGCATCCGGCAAGTGCCTCTATCCACCTCACCTTGTCCCAGCCCTTGATGCCAGGCCCGAGGAGGCTGCCAGCAGGGGCTTAGTTGTGACTTCTTAAGTATTCAAGGACGTTGTTTCAATGACTTTATTTGAGAGAACTGCAAGGAGGTCTTTTCCTCTCGTCAGGGTCTATGTCAATCTATAGAGCAGCTTTCCTCTTACCCTCCCCCACCCTGCCCCACTCTCACTGTAGCAGTTCTTTCTCTTCCTGTTCACCAATAGTCAAAATAGTACCTTTTTCTAAATATCCAAATTTATTTTTGCCAAATGAGAGGGCCCAGCCCACAGAGCATAGTGGTAAGGAGTGGGGTTTCTGGCTGACGTGGTTTGAAATCTCAGCTCCACCTCTCACTAGCTCTTGATGTTTCATTTCCTTATCTGTAATATGGGAATAAAAATACCACCACCTACCTTCTTATATTGTGTCAGGGGCATATAACAAAAGTGCATATAAAGTGCCCAACTTTGTGACTGGCATGTTTTCAGCTTCCATAAATATAGCTGTTGTTGTTATTAATAATTATCAATGGTAATACTTTTCTAGGCCTGTGCTGTCCATTATGGTAGCCCCTAGCCACATGTGGCTATTTAAATGAATTACAATTAAATAAAATAAAAAATGCAATTCTTCAGTTGCGTGAGCCACATTTCAATAGCCAATGGCTAGTGACCACCATGTTGGCCAGTGCAGATACAGAACATGCGTGTCACTGCAGGAAGTTCAACTGGACAGAGCTGGTCCGAGCATTTTCCCTATAAGCCTTAATTTAATTTCCTCTTTTAAATGACAATGTAATGTCAAACATTTAGTGGCCATTTCTCCACCACTGAACAAGATCATATTTTAGCTGGGGTTATAGTTCTTCCGGTCTAATTGAAAGGGTGGCAGAATTGGGCAGATTAAAGATCGTTCTAGGTGATACACGGTCTTCGAATCTTATCCACGTTCCAGATGTTTTCTTCTTTTTTGTCTCCTTGAAGGTGGAGATCACACAATCACCTATCCTATATTGCAAGCGATGGCAGAAAAGTAAGTCCCAAAGGCCGGAGCTGGGGAATGAGTTGCTTTCTGCTAGATGGCGTCAGGTGACCTCTGCTGCCTCAGGTTATTGGGGACGATAGGAAATTCCCCACTGAGTTGCTTCTATGGATCAAAATTAAGGTCAAGCTCCAGGTGTGTCTGTCAGTCAGCAGATGGGAGCCAAGACAATTTATTATTAACACCCTGGCCACCCGCCCTTGCCCTAGATCTGCCCTGGTATGCAGCCTCAGCACTTGCCTGTGTTTTTGGAAGATGAGCCCCTAGTGAAATACACAACCCCAGTTAACTTCAGTTTCTGTTTTGCTTCAGAGGCCAAATACAAATACTGACAGGCACAATGGTGTTGCTTGCTGAGGAGAGGCCCTGTTTTTTCCTGAAAGGGCCCCTTTCCCAGAGGATGAGAAGATGGATTTTTCCAGTAGTGAAAATCTAGCAGGGATTGACTAATTTTGGTTAGTTAGTTTGAGAAATAGACAGATGGGCCAAGGTGGTGAGCTCCAGAATTCATATAGAGGAAAGCTATGTGGGTGGCATTCTGGTTGGAGGTGGGTGGGTGGGTACAAGGCTTTTCTGGAAGCTGTGTTTGCCTGGCACTGATTTGGATTGTCTGTTTTTTTGGGGCGGCTGGCAGGGTTGATGGGGATTATAGAGAGAGAGCTGAGTAGAAGCTGCTTCTTGGTTACCGCAGTTGGAGAAAGGGTGGTGCTGATTAGTTGAGCCTTCAGACGAGCTCACCTGAGCCGCCACCCTTTACTTTCATCCTCCCAGCCCTCTCCATCTGTAAGTGAAGAAAATTCTGGGTGATAGGTAGGGAGTGTCAGCTAAAGCACGTGACTATCTTCTGCTTGACTTCTCTGAGCTTATTGTCCTTCTGAGAAGCTAAGTGGTTTGAAGACAGAAACCAGTTGCAAGGCTGGTAACTGATGCCAGGTCCCCCCTCCACGGCTATGAATCATCATCAAGTTTTGGCGGCCTGGAGGGTGGTGGTGTTCAGGCCCCACCGGGAGGCCTGGCTTCTGAGCCGCCCTGTTGTCATCAGGCATGGGCCTATGGGGCTGGTGCACGTGGATGCACACACGGACGTGGCGGACAAGGCCCTGGGTGAGAAGCTCTATCACGGGACGCCCTTCCGCCGTTGCGTGGACGAGGGACTCCTGGACTGTAAGCGCGTGGTACAGATCGGCATCCGGGGCTCTTCCATGACCTTGGATACCTACAGATACAGCCGGAGCCAGGTGACAGGCCGAAAGCCCCTCCCTCTGTCCCCGGCCCCAAAGTGCCTTCCTCTCCATTGCCCACTCAGTGGAGGCTATGGATTCAAAGGGACTTTGCTAATCAAGCTCCAAGTGGGGACAGAAGGGTGAGTTTGCGTCATGTGGAGCAGATAGGAGCGGGGATGATAGTTCACGAGGCAAAGGAGCCCACTTATCGCTGGGGAGGGGGACAAGCAGAAACAAACCAGGCCCTTGGATGCTGCTGGCTTGGAAAAGAGTGGAGGAGGTCCAGACCCAAGGCGATGGGTCTGATATGGGGATGATAGTTCCCTCCTCATGGATATTGGGGGTCAACTTTGAGGTGCACATAAGCGGAGCACGGGGTAGGCCTATAGGAAATGCCTAGTAAATGCTGCCAGGCCCAAGTGTCAACTTTCTGCTCTTCAATTCTTTCTCAGGGCTTCCGGGTGGTCCTGGCTGAAGACTGCTGGATGAAGTCGCTGGTTCCTCTGATGGGAAAAGTGAGGCAGCAGATGGGAGTCAGACCCATTTATATAAGCTTTGATATCGACGGCTTGGACCCTGCCTATGCCCCAGGGACAGGGACACCCGAAATTGCTGGTCTCACCCCTAGTCAGGTAAGGAGGCTCCACCAGCGACACTTCCTGTGGGTGAGGACACTTAGCTCCCCACTTTCCTGGGACCTGAACTGATTTAGAAATCAGGATGGGCTTTTAAAATCAGAGCACCTGGGCCTTTATTGTGCTCAGGGCTGATCACAGGTTTGGATTCTCCCTTATTGATGAGTGACTGATTTTGGCAAGGGCCCTCATTTCTTATCTGGGATATAAGAGTCCGTTATTTGGTCTTTCTGCCTCTGGTCCACCTGTTCATGGGGACAATACTGTAGTGCCCCCTGTTCAGACACCAAACTTACCTTTTTGGGGTTAAATTTTAAAGGTATGCACAGTGGGATTAACACCTCCTAGGGTAGTTCAAGAGTTTTAGAAACCCCCAAAGAAAGCTCCCATGGTATGCTGAGCATAGCACAGGGAGGCAGAACTGGAGGGTGGCTCTACCTAGAAGGAAAGCTCCAGGGGTGGACCTTTGTTCTGTTCACTACTCTCCGAGCCGAGGAGAGTGTCTGACATATAAGTAGGAGGTACTCACAGATACTGGAGTAAATGAATGAAGACTGCTTGAACTAATCAACTATCTTCTATACTCTCAGAAAGGAGGATGGTCATAACAGCCCCTCTAAAGCCTTTCCCAGTTCCCGTCAGTTTTCTAGAACACACTCCTCATTCCTCAGCTTCGCATCCTTCCTGCTTTTCACCTGCAGAACGGAAGCAAAGTGATGCTCTTCCTGCCACGCCCCTCACTCATCCTATTTCCGGCCACGTCTGACTACTAGTACTTCTTCCGTCTTGGCGCCTTTGCATGTGTCTTTCCCTCTCCCTGGGCTGCCCTCTCCCTACTCCTCTGCTTGGTCAGTTCCTTGAGCTAAGTGTTTCCACCTTGGAGGAGCCTTCCCCAGCCTCTTCAGGCTGCGACACGTGCTCAGACTATTCCTGAAGCCCTTCATGCTGGCATTGAAGCGATTGGTTTGTCTCTGTGATCCCACCAGGGTGCCTGGTGGTCAATGAATGTTTATTGAGGGAAAGCGACAGTTCCAAGTCGAAGGGCAGGACCGTGTTGGGAGAAATCCATGGAGGCCTCTACTGGTTGCTTTCTGTTGTCAATGATTACCTCTCTGGACAACTCAAGCTTCATCTTGGACAGGCTCTGGAGATCATCCGGGGTTGTCAAGGACTGAACGTGGTGGGTTGTGATCTTGTGGAGGTTTCACCGCCGTACGATCCTTCTGGTGAGTAAGGGAGACAAATGTGATCCGTAGGCAGTGGCTAGTTTATTTATTTGTTTATTATATTTTTTATTTTTGGCTGCGTTGGGTCTTCGTTGCATGCGGGCTTTCTCTGGTTGCGGCGAGCGGGGGCTACTCTTCGTTGCGGTGTGTGGGCTTCTCACTGCAGTGGCTTCTCTTGTTGCGGAGCACTGGCTCTAGGCGCGTGGGCTTCAGTAGTTGCAGCACATGGGCTCAGTAGTTGTGGCTCACGGGCTCTAGAGCGCAGGCTCAGTAGTTGTGGCGCACGGGCTTAGTTGCTCCGCGGCATGTGGGATCTTCCCGGACCAGGGCTTGAACCCGTGTCTCCTGCCTTGGCAGGCGGATTCTTTTTTTTTTTTTTTTTTGCGGTATGCGGGCCTCTCACTGTCGCAGCCTCTCCCGTTGCGGAGCACAGGCTCCGGACGCGCAGGCTCAGCGGCCATGGCTCACGGGCTCAGCCGCTCCGCGGCATGTGGGATCCTCCCGGACCGGGGCACGAACCCGTGTCCCCTGCATCGGCAGGCAGACTCCCAACCACTGCACCACCAGGGAAGCTGGCAGGCGGATTCTTAACCACTGCGCCACCAGGGAAGTCCCAGCGGCTAGTTTAAATTGTATTAATCTAGTTAATAAGTAGATGGATGGGTCCCTTTATGTAACTCGGGAACCGGCTGAGTATGTCCTACAGTGAAGAAAATAAACCTATTACTGTACACCATACAGATGTGAGCTAATGAATCCTAACAAAACCCCTGGGAGGCGGCTAAGGATGGATAGCTGGCCCACCCGTCAGCAGAAGAGAGAGAAACCAGCGTGCAGTTCAGCGATAGGGCTGCCCAGTGCCATCTGCCTTGGATATTTCATTGAAAAGTGAATTCTCAAGGCATAAATGGTATTTATTAATATTGATAAAGTGGGGGAGTTAGCTGGTTTAGGAGAGAGATTCAAAGCCAATGCCATCCCAATAATTTTAATCTAGAAAAACTTACAGGGTTAGGCCCGTTAGCCTTAGAGGATAGATAGTAAATACGATACACACCAATATGATAGGTTTTCCTTTGGGGGAAATCTGTTCGCAGAGTAAACAGAGAGCCTTCTGAATTTTAAAGTACCTTTTCTGAATGATGCTTGATAGAACGCCGGGGAAAGCATGTCCACGGGGCGGTGGGGAACCGCAGAGGAGCGCGCAAGGCAGGACTCTGGGAAAGGAAGCACAAAGGGACAAAGGCTGAGGAGCCCGAGGGGCTCAGCCTCAGGAGGCGGTCTGTGTGGTGTTCACGCTTGGGTTTTTCACTGCTTTGTAGGAAACACAGCCCTCGTGGCGGCTAACCTGCTGTTTGAGATGCTGTGTGTTCTCCCCAAAGTGACAGTCGCCTGAATGTTGTGCTACGATGTTCAAGATAAAACTAGAGCTTACCTGGATGACAAATTCTCCAGAACTTATGTGCAAGCAATCTGAGTACTAAAGAGTTTATGCCAATAAAACGTTCTGCTAAAAGTGTCATTAGTGGCTCTACAATCTGGGCTTACAGTAGAACTCTAATCCAAACAGCTAATATTCCTAAGGTGTTTGAATTAACTCAAAAAAAAATGCACTTGTGCTTTTTTTATTTTTTCCTTTGATGAACGGTGATGGCGGATAAAGGGGAAAGGGATGGAGAATTTAGTTTATCTATAATCTGGAGGAATGAAATGAAAAAACCCTATGAAATAGTACTGTAGAAAAACATTCCATATTTCTATAGTATCTTCCTTTAAAATACAGCCCCTACGCTGAGGAGCATCTTGGTTTTAGGACCATCGTGAACACAGAAAAAGTTTGAAAGAAAAAATAACAGGCAGATCCTAATAAAGAAACTTCCCACTCAAAAGCCCAGGAAGATGCAGGAATGTCTTCAAAACCAGGTGACATCAGCTGGCTCTTAGTGGCCTTGCCTTAACCCGCTCCCTCTGAGCCTGTTTTGCATTATCTTCTCTTCAAGCTGACCCACCCTCTATGACAGCAATTCCCCAAATCTGCAGTGGAGGCGTGATGACCTTAAGCATGTGTTGAGTTACATGCGAATTCAGTTTTGTTGATAATGTGTCCATGGTCAAATGATCATCTCGTGACATAAGAGCTACCCATAATCATCACACATTAAAATAGTTTATTTCTGTTTCCAGTCTGTAATATTCTTAAAACAAAATAACATCAGCTTCAGTGCCTGTTCACAATACAAAACAAAAACAACATAAAAAAGACACCATTTGCCAAATAAGTTATTTGTTCCTAAGAGTATCAAAAGTGCAAAATATTCACCTTCTTTTCAGGTCTGTCTCGAAAGCATCATCATCCTCCTTGACAAACTGAACAGATTCGGCAGCAGACACGCTGCGTTTGTTTCAAGGGACAATGTCAGGTATTTGGACATGACCAGCGTTTCAGCTGTAAAGAATGTTTTGCATCAGCTTTTCAAGAATTTTACTTAGAAAAAAATGTTTGAGTGTTTGCTCCTAATCCCTTTCCCCAAACAATGCAAATCACTTAAAACACATTCAGATCCCACTTCTTTTTATAGCAGGAAAACATTTACGTACTGAATAAGGAGGGAATCAACCTATTATTTGAAACCACAACCAAGTTTTCATGGTCAATAAGCGATGGCAGCAAGCCTGTGGTGCCCAATGGGAGTTAGGGCAGGCCTGCTCGCTGACACGTTGCCTAGTTGGAGGTGATGAACTCGGTGTTAGACAGATTGTGCCACCGACACCTGGGCTGATAAAAAATTTTTTAAAAAATGGGTGCGTATATCTACAAAGGCTTGTTTGAGGCCAGTTGTTGTCCTCATCTGCTAAACATGATGCAGAGTCTGTATCAGTCAGAAAAACCTACCTCTGAAAACATCAACGTTGTCAGTTTCAAGACACTCCAAGACTAGGAAGTTAACTTAGAGCCAAAATTGGGTCTGTGTGATTACACATGTAAGATAAATGGTAGCACTGGCTGACCAGGACAGTGGCTCATACATTTGACACAAAAGTAAACAAATTCATGGAAATGACATTCAGGAGGAAAGGCGTGGGTGGTCAAGGGTAAAGGTCAGTTTAAAAGCTTCCCAGTTTCCTCTTGGGGGGCATAGATAGCTACCAGCCCCCAAACGGATCTGTAGATGATGTTTTTTGGATTGAAATATTTCCTAGGAACGTTTTCACTATTATCACTTTCCTTTCTTTATACAAATGAAAGGTGCAGCTGTCTGAAGGTGCTTTTTATTTTAATGATACAATTTTTTTTTTTTTTTTGCGGTACGCGGGCCTCTCACTGCTGTGGCCTCTCCCGTTGCGGAGCACAGGCTCCGGACGCGCAGGCTCAGCGGCCATGGCTCACGGGCCCAGCCGCTCCGCGGCATGTGGGATCTTCCCGGACCGGGGCACGAACCCGCGTCCCCTGCATCGGCAGGCGGACTCTCAACCACTGCACCACCAGGGAAGCCCACAATTTTTTAAAGTGAACGAATCTGGGGTGTTTTTGGTTTTCAGAAATTAAGGTCAGGAATCCCATTAGTACCAGAAATTAAAAAAATAAAAACCTACCACTGAACCAAAACACTACTCGTATAAGCAACTTGGCCACAAGAGATGCAGAAAATAATTCTGAGGACTTGGTGCATCACAGAGCCAAAAATGAATTCCTTGATCTGTTCTACCTGGGCCAGATGCCACGAGATATGGCAATAAGAATAAACACCCACTTTTAGAGGATCATGTGGAAAAATAAAGCCTGGCAGTGATTTATTTTTTTAAATAAAGCTATAGATTCCATGAAAACTAGGGATTTCTGGGCTCAAATAATTTGTTACTTGCCACTGTAGCTCAATCCAAATGGCTTAGTTTAAAGCAATTACGATTAAAGAAAATATTAACCTATTTTGTCCCATCACTGATTTTGACCCTTCACTTTACAAAAAGGCAACTTGTTTTGACATTTGAACTCTTTGAGGTTGTCCAAACTCCACTGGTGGTGTGCTCTAAAAAGAAAAGGTAAGCTCTCTTGACTGGCTGGTAGGGCCCCGCCTGGGGTCCATCGTTCACTGGAGTTCAGCGAGCTGGGGTGCTGATGACAGGTCTGACCCTGTTACTGGTGAAGCAGTTGTAACTTAAGAGTGAAAACAATTAAGATGAGACATCAAAATATAGGCCAGAAGCTCAAAGTGAGCAAAACGGAAGCCTAGAACGTGTCTTGGCTCACTTGTCACCAAAGAGGACTTGAAGATACAGCACTTTTGGGGTAACAGTATTCAAAATACAATTGCTGAGAAATTTTAAGTTCCTTGATACAAAGATATGTCTGATAGTTTACTAAAGAGACATCACTGTAGGGAAGAGGTTCCTTGAGCCTGACTCACGGCAGGAATGACGTGTCGTCAGTTTAACATCTACTGGCTTATAGCAGCTTACCTCTACGTTCAGAGAGCAAGATTGCAAGTTATGGCTCCTAATATCCACACCCTAAAACTGACAGAGGCAGAAAGGCATCTGAAAACATACAGGTAAATGGCTCAAGGTCATTACAGTACTTCTTGCCACGCGGATCCCTCCCCAGCTACTCTTAGTGTTTGGGAGGGGGCTGATGGGATGCTCAAGAAGGCATCGCTCAGGCACTGCCCAGCCCTCCCTTCTCTAGTCTCGGGAAGAAAACCAAACAGACGTGCAGAAACCCCCACGCAGTCCTAACCTTTTAAAACCGTGGCTGACAAGCTGTTGTAGGAGGATACCCCCCAAATATACTTTTAGCCATTTACTACCAAAAAAACCACTAATGTAAGATCGCTTGGAACTAGGCCTCTTTTGAGACACAGGGCCCAGAAGCTGCGGTGGCTTGTCCCACCGTTACAGCATGCACCGCGGCAGAAGCACGGCCGAGGCGGGGCGGGGGTCAGATGGCCCGACCGGCACACCAGGCTCGCGAGGTCCCCCCAGGCTCTGCTGCAGGGTCCAGCCCTGTGCTTGTCCCACAGCACAGAGACAGGACAGGGGAGGTGGGGGGCGAGCACGGGGCGGGGCGACAAAGGAAGAGGGAATGAGCAGTCTATTTTAAATAGTGTGGCATTCAAATGAGGAAAAAAGACCCAAAGGAAAGTATTCAGATCTGGGGAATTCAGCGTTTGGTGTTTTTCACTCCTAGGTTAGAACAGGACAAAGGAAAGATTCTTCTAGCCACTGTTCTGGAAGAATAATCTAAAATCTATACTCTGTCCATTGTGATAGTTTGAGTCCTGAAAATACCTGTTCACAGGGGCCTGTTAAAAAGTCTGAAGAGTTCGAGCCTCTTTTAGAAATTCTCAGTCTAGTTCAGGCCATGACGGGATATAAAACCTCTGTAAGGAGCCTTCCAGCAGCCGTTCCATCCATAAGGACAACTTGCTCAATTTTCCTTTGATGGGCCTGGATCCAAGGCCAGAAGATTTCCCTCGAGATTCACCCAGATGGAGGGAAGAGTCAAGGTCACTGCACGACCCCATGGCTTCCTCCTCTTCGACTGTTTTTTGGGGCTTGAAGAGGCAGAAGTATTTCTTGTGGCCATTCAGAGCCAGTACATAGCCCGTGTAGTCGCGTTCCATGAAATGCTTGTCGTATTGGTTTGGGATCGGGGCCACATCTTGAGCAAATTCTAGTAAGTATTCCAGCCATTCTCTGTGTTTATCTAGACTCAGGAAGGAAAAGTGCAGGCAGCTGCTCCTGTAGGAAGGACAGAAGGAGGATTTAGGGTGTTTCCCGACACATTTAGTCGCAGGGAACACAAGGACCTCAGTCAGATTTTAAATAATAGGAAAAGGCTTTGTGCTGGGTGGGGCCTGAATACAGAAGAAACGAAGGATTTCTGCGGGACCCGGAGGGCTTCTACAATGGCGGCAAGAGCCCCTCATCCATTTCCTGTCCCTTGCTGGGCGTCACTCACATCACTCTCGGTGTCTGGCTTCAGGAAAAGGCACAAGAGCTAGAGAAGAGAGTTTCCTGAAAGGGCTCAGGGAAGACTGAGTTCAAGCTCTTCTGTTCAGAACCAACAGTCAAGGGGAAGAAAGGTCCCCACACGATGGCTTAGAGGTCTGGGTTGGAAAGGTCACAGCCAGCATCATGCTGCACGGAAAAAGCCCCCGCAGCTCCCTCCTTACCCAAGTGTGCAGGCTCCCCCCCTCCTGCTTCCACAGCCCCTGCCCTCTCTCACGTGCACACAGGAGCTCACCCAGTGAACGTGTAGACCTCCAAAGCGAACTTCTGCAGCAGGCTGGTCTTGGTGGAATTTGACAGGATGAGGACCACGTTCATGTGGCCTGGCCTCAGGCGTACCAAGTTACTGGTGTACGTTACATCTGTGAGCTCGGTCACCTCCACAAAGCCTTTTTTAGGAATCTTGCTGTGGAGAAAAACTGAGGAATTAAGATCTTGTAGGATAAGGGAATGCCACGACTTTTAAAAGGAACAAGTGGAAGAAAATGATATGTTCTAACCAGACTAGATATGTTATTTACTAGTCTCGAGCCTGGCGCATGGGCAGGGCGGGACTGACCCCCGTCTGGTTATCCCGGGACCGTAAGGAGCCTTGCCGGGGCCGCCGTGCAGTTGGTGCAGAAGCGGCTTTAGGACAGGATGAAGGCTGTCAACACAGTTATGGTGACGCACCGTTCTCTGCTTCTGGCTCATCTAGCATCTCCCTGACACGCTTCTTTGCTTGCTTCCCGCCTTCATGATTAAATCTGGGATTGAGAAACTCAGGGTACTGAGGAGAAGATAACTAGTCCTGCGTCTGAACGCCTAGGCAGTCTCACTCAGCGCTCGTCAGCTGCGACTCTTGCCTAAATCCACATCTCTCACAAGGGGGGGAGCCAGGGCTCTGAGCTGTACTAGCCCCTTGGACGCTGCTTATCAGACCCCGTGGCGCGTGGGGCTGCTGCTGAGGGCGAGGTGCTGGTGTTTGGTTAGGGCGACCTGCTGGGCTCCTTGGTGAAGCTTGGCTCTGTCCTCCCGGTCTTCTCGTGGGCTTCCTCTTTGTCTGGAGGGCTTGACTCGCGCTCCTCATTTGAGTCACTGAAGTAAGAGAAAGGACTTTTCCAGAAGGTTTGTACGGTCCGGGGCTCACCCTTCAGACACGGCACTGAGCAGACACGGAGGCTCTTACCTGAAAGCCTGGATGATGACGGTGCCGAAGAGGATGAAGAGAGCAGAGAAGACCAGGGACAGAAGGGGCATCATTTCCCGCCTACAATGAAGTTCACAAGCTCTGGTCAGCTCTATGTGGGCTGCTGTGACGTGCCAATGAATGGTTGTAGGTTTCTCCTCTCTGGCTTAAGAGAAAAACCCTAAACAGCCCCAAACCGAAAAGCTTTCACATCAACAAACACCTTTTTTTTTTTTGACTGCGCCGTGCAGCTTGTGGGATCTTAGTTACCCAATCAGGGATCGAACCCGTAACCCCTGCATTGGGAGTGCAGAGTCTTAACCACTGGACCGCCAGGGAAGTCTGACACTTTCTAATCTCATACAAACAGAGGGTTTTTTGGGTGGTGGTGGTGGTGAAAGCAGAGGTTTTTCCCTCACTGTTCCAATGCACAGATCACTTATTCAAAAAGCTTTTGTGTCTCAGGCTTGGTGACTAAATTCTGCAGAAGGAAACAATACGATGGGTAACAAACGATTTAAGTTGTAAACATGGAGGAACATTCTAATGTCAAGGGTAGTATCAGGTGACTAAAAAGGTCTGTGGAATTATTTCCTTTATTTTGATTTATTTATTTATTTTTTCTGGCCAGAATAATTCAGATGTGGCCCAGAGGGGAGGAGAAGGGAGGCAAAGTTGACTTCTCAAGATCTCCACTAGGTGTTCTGAAATTTTATTCACCCACAAACACCCATCAAAGGCCTGCTGTTTTTCAGGAGCTGGGTTGGGGGCCAGGAAGCACGAACATGAGTGGGACATGGTCTGTCCTCAGGAGCTCATGGTCTCATTGGGGTGGGAATGGTATAGCCCTCCCTTCTCCAACTAATTCACTGATTCATTTGTGCATCTATTCACTGGACTCCATGTGTGTCAGGCCCTGTGCTGGACACCAGAGGTGCTCTGATGAAGAGGATGGTCCCAGGCTCTGCTAGCTGGAGGGGCAGCCAGGGGTGATCCTTTCTTTCCCCACCAGTGGGAAAGGGTCAATCAGCAAATATAAAAAAAGGGAAGTCACTGAAAGAAAGAAAAAGGGGAACAGTTGTTGAAAATATGTAAACACTCTTCCACCTGCCTATGGAGTCCACACTGAAATCAAAGAAGAGTGGACTCTTCTCAAAAAAAAAAACAGCGGTCCTGGTAGTTAACAGAGAGAAAGAGATTCAAACTTGGCAATACTACTACCAGTTGCTGTGAAATATGCCGTCCCAAGAGTCTGAGATGTAGTCAGAAGCAGAATAGAGCCACCGAAGGAGAAAAATCTGTTGAGGGAGAAAATGGGTGACGGTCAGGCCTGGACCCCTGAGCCCCGGAGGGGGAAGACCCCTGCCTCCAACATGGCACTGTTGCTCTGGGGGCTCAGGAGCCCTGCCCGGTGCCCGCCCTCCTGGCTATGTGCTTACAGGGGCAAGTTCATCAGTCAAGTCGGGGAGCACAGCTTCCGAGGACAGAAGAGCTGGGTCTTTCCGCAGTTGGTCAAGATAACCCAAAAGGATGAATTTATCGCTCTCACTCCCGGTCCAGGGATGCTCCAGGGTTTTATACACCACCCTCCCTGCTGTGTTGCGCCTTTCTAAGATAGACACCTGGGAGAAAAAGAGAGCAAAAACCATGAGAATTCTCAAAAGAATGCGAAGTTACTGTTGCTTGGGTTTTTTCCAGGGAGGATGGAAAAAACGGGTCTAGCGAAGCTCAAACACAGGTATGGATGAGTATACAATATCTGCAAGAGACTGACATTTTTCTAACAAAAGAAATTAGTTTTGTGGTGACTTTCCAGAGCTTTTGCTAAAGTTAAAGCTCCTTCTTCTCAATAGACTTTGTTCTATAACTTCTGACTTAATGTCATAAAGAAGGAAACCTTTGTTTTTTCGAGAGATTTTTTTCCATAATTACCAAGATGATGAAAAAGACAGAGAAGAATTTCATGCTTCTGTAGAGAGTGATGATGAAGGAGGGGAAAGGAAGGTGAAATCAGTTAGGATGAAGTAAAAGAGGCAGAAGCACAGAAGGGAGACATTTGGAAAGCCTATTACTGGTAGCCTAAGGAAGATTCTACAAACTAGGTACTGTAAGACTAGACCTGCCAAGGGGAGAGACTGGTGAAAGGGGCTGATGCTCTTTAATCTTTACCCAGAGGGAAGATGCTTTCTGTGAAGGTCCAAGGCTGAAAATCTAGGAGGTGAAATCAGCATGGTTAAAGACTAGTTTAGGAGTGCTTTCAAAACAGGCTTTGGACAGCACAGCGAACTATACTCAATATCCTGTGATAAACCGTAATGGAAGAGAATATAAAAAAGAATGTATATATAACTGAATCAATCTGCTGTACAGCGGAAATTAACACAACATTGTAAATCAACTATACTTTAATTAAAAAAAAAAAAAAGTCAAATGGCTTCCAAGCACTCGGAAAACATAAGGCAAAACAAAACGGAACAAACAGGCTTCAGAGATTCCTGGACTTCCTGGAATCTATACTGAAAACTCCTGAGGAAGGAGGACACAGAACTAAGCGTCACGTGCTTGTGAAGAGCTCGAGACCAGGACAGCATCCGCGACTCACCGCTGATTTTCCTTGAAAGGCGTCGCTGTCTGGCAGTAAGGTGTTGGCAAACTCCTGCTGCCGATTGCTGTAGACGTGCACGAACCTCACTGTGTCCTGCGTGTTTGCCAGAGCAAAGGACAGGAAAGCCTCGAAGGGTTTACTCAGCTTGGTAGCCTCCGCGGTCAGTAGAACCACACAGTACCTGCATGTCAACAAAAGAGAAGACTTTAATCCCTGAGGCCACGGCTAGAACCTGAATGGCAAGTGAAGGTGAAAGAGAGGAGACGCTCATTTACAAAGTGAACGAGCATGTTTTAGGAATGAAAGCTTCATGGGGGAACCTCTAATGAGAGAAAATGGCCAAGGCATTAAGGACCCGCTTCTTTCTAGACTGGTGATGCTCTCCCCAAACCAAACTTCACGACATTTAGAGATGCCTTTGAAGGCAATGGTCACTGAACCCTTGATGCAGAAGGGCCTTGCAGAAGGCACCTGTTCTAGTTCTCCCACCGTAGGCAGGGCTGGTTGAGCCTATCTGAGGCCAGGGCCACTGGGCCTCATTCTGAAGGGCTTCCTTTGTAGTGGTGCCAAGGGAAAGTTCATCTAATCATTCATTCATGCATTCATTCTCTCAAATACTACTGAGCACTCAATAGATGCCAGGTAAGACAGACAATGCTCTTGCCCTCATGGAGCTGATATTCCAGTGTGGAAGGCAGATAACAAATAGATAGATGGACAGATCGTGACAAGTAGTGACAAGGGTCATGAGAAAAAAAAGAAGTGAAGGGGAGAGAGTCAAGGGTGGGCTGGGAGTCACGATCCATCAGGCTGGCTGCGCAGAGGTGTAAGGAGATGCCATAAGAGGAAGTGGGGTCTGAGCACTCCAGGCAGAGAGCACCGCAAGTGCAAAGACCCTGAGACTGGGGCACTCGAGCCAATTCACAGTGCTAGGAGGATCGCTGGCTGACATGAACTGACTGAGGGTGGGAGAGTGGAGCGGAGGCAGAGGAGGTTAGGAGGCTAACACGGTGGCCTCGACGAGAGGTGACAGTGACCTGGCGAGGGTGGCGGTGCTAACGAAGGGGAGGAGTGCGTGGACTGGGGATACTTTCTGAAGGCGGTATAAATAACAATCCTTAAAGCCCAGGATCACCTGCCTTACGGTTAATTAAAGTCTTTCTTCTCTTAGTCTATAAAGGAAACTGAAAAGCCTGGAAACACAGGGAAGTTTTCCTATTTTAAACAATATTTTAGTTGTATTTTCACATAACGTGATCAAAATGTTTTCCTTTCATATCCAGACAGCCTTCACTCATACCCAGACAGCTTTCACAGATGAAACAGCCCTAAATTTAAAGGCACTGATTCATTAATCTGAAAGAGGTATAATAAGTATTTTCCCTGTATTTCCAGACTTTAGACACTCTGTATGAATAAGTATGCCTCAGCCTTACTATTCCCATTTAATTATTTTACCATTTCCTCAGTACTCTCACTTCTCTACTATTTAGTCATTAACCTGGCTCCTCTCCAAGACCCCCAGAGGCTCACCCTGTGTGGAGTACTCTGGTAGGAACAGTAACTCTCTCCTACTCCATGCTGCTCTACAGTGACCCAGGCTCTCCTTGACACCCGGCAAAATCTACTCATCCTTCAGGGCTCAGCTAAAGTGTTACCTCTTAGGGGGATCTTCTCTGGCACACCCAATAATTTGGTCCTAAGGTGCCCTGGACTGTTATACCCCTCACTGTCATAGTTGTTCATCAATATCTGTTACATGAAGAATAAATTCTGATTGTCTCAGGGTCGACGTTTAACTGCCTTGTAGTAAAATGCAACATGCCCCTCTGCTGCACTGATGAGCAGGGGCAAAGCCTTCAGTCCTTACTTCCTCTGTCGGTGAGACCGTTTCACGGGGCAGAGTTCATGGAACAACTTCTGGCTGGTGAGCCTGGCTGCCAACAGATACTTGTTTTGGGTGATAAAGTCATCAATGACCTGTTTCTTCATACCTCGGGCCTGGAGAAAAACCAAGAGACAGTGGATTCTGATTCAGTTTTCTCACTGAAAATGGGCTTTACTTACAGCTTAATAAACATGTAGCTGAGGGAACTCCCTGGCGGTCCAGTGGTTAAGACTCCATGTTCCCAATGTGGGGGGCACAGGTTCGATCTCTGGTCAGGGAACTGAGATCCTGCATGCCGTGCAGCGCGGCCAAAAAAAAACCCCCCAAAAAACAAGTGCCTGATCCTGGCTAAAGTAATAAAACCACTTACGTCAGACTCATTTGAGCAGATAAACATGTGATCTTTTTAAAAAACGCAGGGCTGGGACTTCCCTGGTGGCACAGTGGTTAAGAATCCGTCTGCCAATGCAGGGGACCAGGTTCTAGCTCTGGTCCGGGAAGATCCCACATGCCGCAGAGCAACTAAGCCCGTGCGTCACAACTACTGAGCCTGCACTCTAGAGCCCATGAGCCACAACTACTGAGCCTGCGTGCCACAACTACTGAAGCCCACGTGCTTAGAGCCCATGCTCTGCAACAAGAGAAGCCACTGCAATGAGAAGTCCGCGCGCCGCAACGAAGAGTAGGCCCCTCTCGCCACAACTACAGAAAGCCTGCAGGCGGCAACAAAGATCCGACGCAGACAAAAAAAAAAAAAGCAAAAAAAAAGCAGGGCTGAGAGCAATGACGTAGCAATTTCAGGTCAAAGGAAAAATCAAGTGCTCTTTTCACTGGACAACTTTTATATACTGTTTTACGCTAGCAGATTTAAAAAGTCAATAATTTGGAATTTTTAGGCAAATTTACTTCCAGATTTATAGGAAACTGAACAATTGAAAATAAACTCCCTGGGACTTCCTGGCAGTCTGATGGTTAAGACTCTGTGCTTCCACTGCAGGGGGCACGGGTTCAATCCCTGGGGAACCAAGGTCCCGCATGCCTCCCTGCGTGTGGCCAAAAAAACAAAAAGAAAGAAACAAACCCCCCCACAAAACTCCAAAGTAACAATGTTACTGAGTATAAAAGGCGGACAACAAAACTGTAATATGACCACTTTGTTATTACTAACTTTCATATATTTCAAAGGACTGAAATTTTATATATAGTAGCTTCTCTGACCACAATTAAACAAGAAATCAATATAAGATAGAAACCAGAAAATCCCTTTTTGTTTAGAAATTAAGAAACTCTGAATAACTTATTGACCTAAGAAGAAAGCATATCAGATATAAGAAAATATTTTGAATTTGAAGTGATTAATGAAAATACTATTTATCAAAACTTTGGGACTCAGATAAAGTATCAGTAGTACTTGGAGAGTAATGTTAAAATGAATATAATAGAAAAGAAATTAATGAACTAGACATCCATATCAAGACGTTACAGCAAAAATACAACCGTAGTGGGCTTCCCTGGTGGCGCAGTGGTTGAGAGTCCGCCTGCCGGTGCAGGGGACGTGGGTTTGTGCCCCGGTCCGGGAAGATCCCACATGCTGCGGAGCGGCTGGGCCCGTGAGCCATGGCCGCTGAGGCTGCGCGTCCGGAGCCTGTGCTCCGCAACGGGAGGGGCCACGGCAGTGGGAGGCCCGCGTACCGCAAAAACAAACAAACAAACAAAAACAAACCGTAGAGAAAAGGAAATAGTAAAAATGAATATAGAAATCAATAAAACAAAATAAATATATAAGAAGAAGAATTAACAAAAACAAAATTGGTTCTTTGGAAGAGCTAACAAAATTGACAAACCTCTGGTAAAACCAATCATGAAAATAAGAGAGAAGGCACAAATAACCATTATCAAGGATGACGAGGGACTTCTCTGGTGGTCCAGTGGCTAAGGCTCTGCACTCCCAATGCAGGGGGACCCATTTGATCCCTGGTCAGGGAACTAGATCCCACATGCCACAACTAAGAGCTTGCATGCCGCTACTAAAGATCCTGCATGCCACAAGGAAGATCCTGCACGTGGCAACGAAGATCCCAAGTGCCGCAACTAAGACCGGGCGCAGCCAAATAAATAATATTAAAAAAAGAAAAAAAGGGACCTGCTTGCTGGCACAGTGGATAAGACTCCATGCTCCCAATGAGGGTTCGATCCCTGGTCAGGGAACTAGATCCCACATGCGTGCCGAAACTAAGAGTTCACATGCCACAACTAAGGAGCCTGAGTGCTGCAACTAAGACCTGGGGAGCCACAACTAAGGAGCTCTGGAGCTGCAACTAAGGAGCCTGCTGCAACTAAGACCTGGAGCAACCAAAAAAATAAATATTAAAAAAAAAAATATATTAAAAAAAAAAGGATGACGAGGAGGAATCACTCCGTATGTTGTAGAAACTAAAAATATATACGTATACATACATATATATATATACACATATACATTTAAATTTGAAAATTTAGATGAAACAGAAAAATTTCTAGAAAAATAAAACAACATCTGAAAAAGAGAAGAGTTAACTAGTTCTATAACCATTAAAGAAGATGAGTCAGTAGTCAAAAATCTCTCCTTGAACACAAACTCAGGCTGAGATGGCTTTACGTAGGTGGTTTTGACCCAATTTTCAAGGCGGACAATCTAATCTTATACAAAGTCTTCCCGAGAAGAGAAAAAGGGAGAACACACCCCATCTCGTTTCATGATTCAAATCCTCACATGGGCATCTTGAGAAAGAGAAGTTAGAAGTCAATCTCATTTCTGAACATAAATGTGAAAGTCCTAAACAAAATGTTAGCAAACTGAATACAGCAATATACTGAAAGCAAAATACAGATAATGATCCTGTTGGATTATCTCATGAATGCAAGTTAGGGTTAACACTAGAAAATGATTAAGATGACTTAGCACATTACAGAACATGAAAGAAGAAAACTCTGGATAATCATAGTGGATGTGTAAAAAGTATCTGATAAAAATCAACACCATTCATATCAGAAAAATTAAATTGGTCTAGTGTTGGCAAGGATATGGAGCAATGGAACACTCACACGTGATTGGTGGAAATGTACTTAGGAAAACACATTAGCTAGTAAAGTTAAAGATATATATATATATATTTAATCATTAAAAAAAATAAAGCCATATATGTTAACATAAATAACTTTTTTTAAACATTAAAAAAAAGAATTTCCAAAACCAAAAAATGTTTAGTGAGAAGATTAACACTGCTTTACATTTTTACAAATCTTTTTAATGTCTGGTTTCATAGGAGAGATAGGTGGATTCTCATATCTGCTTCTATATACAATCGGGGGTCACATATTGTTTTGGTTGAAAACCCAGCCTCACACAGATATATGGTTAGAAAAGGGAGGTTTATTTTAATAGCTTTTCAGATAACTGTGGATATCCTTCTTTGCCACTACACCGAAACTGGACAAATGGTAGTTTCTTAAAAGTTAGTTGCTATGTGGATTCAATGAACTTTTTTTGTTTTTTTTTGGCTGCACTGCATGGGGGGATCTTAGTTCCCCAACCAGGGATCGAACCTGTGCCCCTGAAGTGGAAGCGCAGAGTCCTAACCACTGGACCGCGGGGGAATTCCCATCCATGAACTTTTAGTACTCTGTTAAATTAAAATTCACTGATCAAAAATAAAGAAGGTAAAATTCACTGATCGCCGTGCACTTAGAATGGATCTTTTGCTCATGCATGGTCATTCGAAAAACACTGGTTCACTGATCTCCCAGACGCTGACAAATTTTCTTATTCATATGAAAAAATGCATCACATCGATGAACCAATCTCGTAAGCAAGTTTGAGAAGCTATCAAGGTCACGATGGCTGATACAAATTTTTCAAAATTAAAATTTCCTTGGAAGCCTGGATTCTATCGTCAGCAACAGATGCTGTGAGTTGTTTCCCTTAAAGTGCCAGGCTCACTTCATTCATTTTAAAGAAAATGTCTGCCCTAACTCTGAGTAACCATAGTTGTCCGTCAATTATTCTTTAAAAAAAAAAAAAAATTTTCAAAAAAAAAAAAAAAAAAAAAAAAAAAAAAAGAAAAGTTGCCAGTTCAAAACTCCTGAGTCAGGCAACCACGCAGACATTTGTCCCCAGGACACCCTCTCAACTTGGCCTGCGGTAGAGCTTTCTGCACACTTCCTATTTTGTCACAGAGAACATTAAAGATACCAGAAAGACGTGGACTTGAGTGTCAATTTACCTATGAATAACATTCATACTTCTTACTGCTTCATCAAGGCTATTCAGTGAAATGGGAGTTGACCCTCTGTGTTGTTACGGTGAGTGCTTAGGCGTGAAGAACACACGGCCACCGGCAGCCTGGTGCCCGGGCCTTGGTGTGTGCACTTGGTGGTTATGCACTGGAAAGTTTACCCACCATTGCTTTTGCACCATCGGTGCAAGCGTCAACACAGAGAAAAGACAAATTATGTCTTAGTGGTTCCTGTGAAGACAGCTTTGATCTCACAGACTCTCTTAAAGGGTCTTTTGGACCCCCGCCCCCCGCCCCCAGGGGTCTGTGAACCACATTTTTAAAACTGCCGTCCTGTAGAAACTTGTGATTGGGTACACCGGGATACATGGGATGTCCACAGCATCACTGGTCCTAAAGCCCCGAAATGTCCATCAACAGAAGAATGAATAAACCCATTATCATGTGGCCATAGCCACTGTATAGCAGATGAAAACAAGTTAACTAGAGCTAAGAGAAACCACTAGTGCTACTAGTGTTTGCTAAGCCGCTTGCCATTGGGAGGACTCAGTTTATGTTAAGAATGCAGTTTTACATTCATAAAGAGCAAACTGGTAAAGCATCCATTGTACCAGCAATTTTGTTAATGTATCTGATTAACGATTTTCCCCAGGGAATAAATAAATAACAATTCCCAAGAGTACAAGCTATCACTAAAAAGCAATTTAGGAAATCTTACAGATTAATCTTGGATTGAGATGACCTTCTTTCCTCTCTTCCACAACTGGCATTTGTTTGCTTCCTGACCCTCTCTTGGCTCCTTCTTAGTCGCCATCAGGCATCCCTTCTTTTTTTTTTTTTTTTTTTTTGCGGTCTGCGGGCCTCTCACTGTTGCAGCCTCTCCCGCTACGGAGCACAGGCTCCGGACGCGCAGGCTCAGCGGCCATGGCTCACGGGCCCAGACGCCCCGTGGCATGTGGGATCTTCCCGGACTGGGGCACGAACCCGTGCCCCCTGCATCGGCAGGCGGACTCTCAACCCCTGCGCCATCAGGGAAGCCCTCCCCTCTTTTTATTTGCTGGTGACTGTCCAGAGTTTTGTCCTTGGCTGCCTTCTCTCCTTACTTGACATACGATGCCTGCGAGATCTCCCCACACTAAAGATTTCACCCTCTAACCAGTCACTGACGATTCACAAATCTCTATTCCAGCCCCTCCGCCCTTCCTTGGATCTAGAGCCCTGCCTGATGGGCATCTCCCCTTGGGTTTCCTGAAGGCAGTTCTAATTCTTATGTCCACAACTGAACTCATTACCTTCTTCTTAAACCTGCTCTCCCTTCCTTACTATCCACTTTCCCCATCTGGTTCTGTCACACACAACACCCTAGTCCCATAGTCTCAGGACCCCTTCTACATCCACAGGGCGCCCGGAGGAACCCTCCATCTTAGTGAGACACCTACTACAGGGGACGGTCTTTTTCCTCTCCTGACTGTGAGTCAGAGGAGGACGAAGACTAAACTGGATGTCAGAGCTGTTCTGTATTTAGTGTTCAGCAGGCAGGCTGATGTACTGAATAAAGGATTTTAGAGAATTTCTCCTTCTTCTCGTTCTAGCCTCCTATAAGAGAAAGTATCAAAGGGTTCTTGACCATTTAAAAAAAAATAACATTAAAAATATTAAAAAATACATGTCCATTATAGGGACTTTTGAAAACCTAAATATTGAAATAATACCTAATTCCGCCATCAAAAGATAACCATTAATGTTTTGATGTATTTATTTCTAGTTTTTTCCTGTGTGTACACATGCACACATGCACTCACTTTACAAACTTGAGGTCAGTGAATAAACTGCATATACAATTCTGCATCCTGCTTTCTCTGTAACATCATGTTAGGAAAATTATACCCATCATTAAGTATTCTCGAGTTGCCATTTTAAATGGCTATATAATAGTCTCTGGGATGTACCAATAATTATCCTGCCGTTGGATGTTTATATTTCCACCTCATTTTTGGTATTATGAATGATACTTAACATCTCTGTATGCACTTCTTTGCCTGAGTTCCTATTCCTTTAGGATAGAGCCCTAAAAGGTAATCTCACCTCCCTCAGGTCTTTCCTCGTGTCACCTTAATGAGGCCCTTCCTGGCTGCTCCACCTTAAAAATGTGAACCCTCTCCCATAATACCCTCTTCCCTGTTTTATTTTTCTCCTTGGCACGTATCGCTATATAAATACCACGACAGAGTATGTTATGCTGATTGTCTGTCGTCCCCACTAGAACACAGGACGGGGAATTCTGTCAGTCTTGTCCAGGGCTGCACCCTCAGCACAGAAAGTGGTGTTTGGCACACAGCAGGTGCTCAGGAGTGCTCTTCTGCTAGGCAGTTGGTGTTTTATCACCCAATCGCTTTTCGGAAAACTTTGGAGGCTTCTTCCAGCAAGGCAGGAAAGACAAGTCCCTGTTTCTCTGTAGTCTCAACTCTACTGAGGATTTTTCCTTCAAAAATCTTTAACAATTTGATGAGAGAAAAAAATGTTTATTTTGCTTTTCTCTGATTATTAGTGAGATTTATTTTTGTAAGGGGGTTTATTAGTCACTTGAATCTCTTCTCAGGATTTTGTTCACTTCGTTTTGGGGGGAAGTTTTAAAAATTTTTTTAAAAATTGAGGTAAAATTCACATAACATGAAATTAACCATTTTAGTGTACAATTCAGTGGCACTTAGTACATTCAGTGTTGTGCAGCCCTCATCTCTATCTAGTTCCAAAACATTTTCATCACCCTAAAACTCTGTACTCATTAAGTGGTCATTCTGTACTCATTAAGTGGTCATTCTCAAGAAGTTTTGGGTTGATTTCCTTGATTAGAAGAAGCTCATTAGAAATTAAAGATAATGATCCCTTTTATATTGGTTGTAATTACTTCCCTTATTGTTTAATCAAAAATTCTTAAGCATTTATATAAAAATTTAAAACTTATAATCAAGTTATTAGGATTTTCCAACAATATTTTCCCCAATGTTTTTAGCCCTTCCCTATCTTAAGATCAGATAAATATTCAGTGTATGTTCTTTAACTTAGTTTATGGGTTTTTTCTTTTTTTCCAGTGATGTTATTTAGTTAATTAATTAATTAATTAATTTTTTGGCTGCGCAGGGAGGCATGTGGGATCTTAGTTCCTGACCAGGGATCAAATCCGCACCCCTGCAGTGGAAGTGCGGAGTCTTAACCACTGGACCGTCAGGGAAGTCCCTAAAGGAAGAGGTTAAAACTAGTTTCTTCTCCTCTCCTGCTGTGCTCGATTTTGCTGTTTATTTATATGACACCTTGAGATAAAATGGGAGGGCCATCTTGAAACAAGGTGACACTCACATACCTGGATAACATCTGCAGGCTTGTGTATGTGTTCTTTAAAGATCAGGATGGTGGGGGTATAGACGTTGACGTTGTATTGCCTCGTCATCTCTTCCGCCCCTCTCAAACCGACGTACACGTATCCAAATGACAAATAATCTTTATACGCGAAAGCAGTCAACTGTTAGGGCGTAACAGAGAGGAAGAAATGAAAGTGATAGCACAGCATCTACATTAAGTGTGACTTGTTCTCATCAGTGGGTGCAGATGAACGCTAGCTTATACAGCCCCACTCAGGCTGCTACACCCTCGTTCCCTTGTAGGAATGCTATGGTGCTCCATGAACAAAAACTGTACCAACAAAGCTAAACAACAACTAATTCTTTTTTCAGACAGAGCAAGATATTCATCTTACTGAGATCTGTACTGGGTGGGAGGTTTGAGGAGTTAACTGTACCCTAATTAGGTAAGATGGCAGTGACCGTGCCAACGGTTTAGCACTTTCCTCTCCCATCTCATGTCACAGTGATAACCAGAGGTGTGCTAGACAGAAGTATAGTACATATTCAGAGGGCAGGTTTGGAATCAGACAGGCTACAAGGGAATCGATATTCAACATGGGAGACCTTGGGCAGGTTATACAACCACTCTAAGCTTCAGTAAAAGTAGGGATAATAATCTGTATCACTGGGTTCTTCTGAAGATTAAATGCTATTATGTGTGTGGAAAGTACTAGCACAGTAATAGCATCAGTAGGTCCTCAATGTATGGTGGTTGAAGCAAATTTCTGGTCTTCAAGCGTTTCTCTTGGGATGAGCTATTACTCACAGAAAAGAAAATCACCAAAATAAGAGAAAACATTACCCAGCACCTAAAGTACCTTGTAGAGCAGTGGTACAACGGGCATTTGGTCAAACAGAAGGACATGCGGTTTATTCTCTTGCTGCCAGCCAGAGAGGAATCTGACATAATTTTTACTTGTAACCTTAAATTGAATAAAGGATGTTAGTTTCAACATTTAATTCTTAACAACTGCATTATAATCCAGTCAGGAGATAATTAAACAAAATCAAATATGTGCAAAAGATTGTTTTGTAAAAAATAAAAAATGCAGACAACTAATTTTTTGCCTTTATGTGACTAAAATTAATTAAAAGAACAGAGATATTGATTTCATATTTTCATGTGATCCAACCCTTACAGACTGAAATCATAATCTTTTCTGAAACAATTACTGACCATACTATAAAAAAAATGAGCTTTCAAAGTTGGTTCTTGCTCAGTTATAGACTGCACTTGTTAATCTATTAGAAGATAATGCAACAACTGCTCTTTTAAAACGGCTTGAATAAAAATAAGTGGGCCCACCCCACCTATACATTACATAAGTTCATTCACTGCCATCTGAATTGCTACTTTTGTGTTTCCCTGTTTATGCCTTAAAATAATCCCAAGGAAACAAATTAAAAACTTGAATAAATTAAATTTCTATCTAGAAAATGTTCATAGTAGTTCAAAAAAGTTTATCTTTCCACTTTGCTTCCAGAATGATCTATATAAAACCGCAATCTCATCATTTCACCCCACTGCTCAGCCCCTTTCAATGGCTCCATCACCTGCAGGCCAAGTCCAAGTTCCTTAAAGGAGACCCTCACAGTGAGATTCCCATTAACCCCTTTAATCCTGTCTTCTCCCACTCACTAATGACTACTTCATACAAAGCAGGCTACCTCTGTATGCCTGGAACTCATTCCCTTCTTCTCTCTCCTCACCTGGCAAACTCAGTACAGGGGGCATTTCTGCCAGGAAGACTTTCTCAAATCTCTAGGATGGGCACTCTACATATAGGATGGAAACAATCACCTACTAGACTGCGAGCTCCTTGGAAAGTGTCCTCAGCACTTATCATAATGTCTGACATACAACAGGCATTTTAAAAAGGTTTGAGGACCTGTCAGGACAACCAATCATCATTTTAGGAGGCTACAATGCTCTCTGACAATTTCAAGGTAACTCCAACAAATATTTCTTCTGTGGGTAATGATCCTGGTGGGACAGGCTGTGTAGAAATAGGATGGAAGTATCTGTATGTTCACTCTCCTTGGTATTATTAAAAGAATGAATCATTTTCATTTAAAGCAACATAAGAATCTTCTTCTAGTTCCTGTGATCGCTAACCTCAGATACTGAGGGAAAAATGCTTCTTAAATATAAAAATCATAGTTTATAGTTTGTGGGAATTTCTGTGCCTGGCTTCTCTAGCTCAATCTTTTGTTTGTGAAATTTATTCACACTGTTGCATCGCTATATGTTTTGAAAGTTCCAAAAATAATATCTGATTTCATGGAATCTGGTGTTTTCAATAGATACGATCGTTAAATATATAACCAAATATAACTTAATTTGAATACTCTCATAAGAAAAGTATCTTTAAACGAACACATGCATGAGTTGGAAAGACCTCCTTCATCCCATGTTGTGATCTAATTTTTTGTTGAGAAAAGAAGAGGCACTCTCATTTTAGGCTCAGATTCCTATGACAGTGTAAGTCTTCCCAGCGGTTTTGACAAGGATGATTCTTTCAGTCTCTCTACTTCATCTGTTTCAATTCTCAGTCTCTGGCAGACTTCGTTTAAATGATTTAGTTAGAGTAATTAATTAATTAATATGTGTCTTGTCCTGCCCCAAATGAAACTCAGGTCTGAGGATGACCACAGGTAGAGTTCAGGGCAGCCAGCAGTCCCAGGAGCCTCTTAAACTACTTCTCAGCCAGGTACTTACTTTCTCCACCAAGTTCCCTGGAAGAAGGCTCTCTACAAACTGTCGCAGGTTCTCACGGACAACTGCATTATGGAAGAAGGAGATTTTCCCATTTATGATTCCTAGGATAGCTGGTGTGCTGTGTGCTCCCAGGTGATGGGCCAGGCGTCTCTCGTAGCCAGCGTGGACCACGCCGATTCCTACGCCTGAAAAATATGGAAGACCTCCATGAAGACTTTTTATGCCCTCATGGCAGGTGAAGAAATGCTGCTAAGTAATTTTCTGGTGTGAAAATGAAATCCCGACTTAGTAGGAGGGGATATCTTTCCTGATAGACTGTCTAGCATTCTATCACTGCTGGAATGCTAAATTGGTTCAGTTTTTCTGCATAGCCATCTAGCAATGTTTAAGAAGGGCCACAAATCTTTCTATCTTTCAGTCCATGGTGTCTAATTTTGGGAGTAGATCATGAAGAAATACTTCAAAAGAAAAGAACAATCTGTCCACAGTGTTCCTATTCATAAAGAACACCACCTGTAAGCAATTCAAGGGTTCATCAACTCTGCAATGGTTGAAAAAACCTAGAATCTAACGATGGGCTGGAATCATAATCTTCTCACCTTTCAGAGCATGTCTCCCTTTTACATAAACTATTTTATAGAGATTTTGTACAGATTCTCAGAAAGAGAAAGAGATTAGGTTAAAATTACTTGGTCATATCCCACATAACTATTGTTAACATTTTGGTATCTATCTGTGCCTTTTCTTACGCAAATATGTGTGTGTGTGTATGTATACACACAGGTATAAATAAAATAAAACGGGATCATCTGACACTTATTTCACTTAGTATTTGAATAACGTTTCTTGTCTTTCATTCAACCACTGTATTTGGAGGGCTAGCTCCCCTGCTAAACATTGGAGATACAGTAAATGTTAATAGGCAGTAAATATGCTTTTTCTCTTGGGTGTCTAACAGACCTCTAAGTATAAAGTTTTCAAAAACAAACTCCTGATCTCCTCCTCAAACCTGTTCTACCCTGGCTTTCACCATTTCCATTGACGGCGGCTCCCTCCTTCCCGTTACTCAGGACGGAAGTCTTAAGAGTGATCTTTGACCCCTCTCGTCTCTCACACCCCCCATCCGATCCATCAGCAAGTCCTGTTGGTCCTGTCTTCAAAATACAGCAGGAATCCGACTGTTTTTCTCCACTTCCATTGTACCCTGTCTCTTATGCATCTTCATCTCTCTCCCCTGAGTGGCTGCAATAACCTCCTCAATGGTGTCGTGTTTCTCCTTGTCCCCCTACTGTCTGTCCTCAACACGGTAGCCAGACTGTTCCTTCTAAAACATAAATAACGGATCATGTCGCTCCTCTGCCCAAATCTGGCAATGCCTCCCCTTTCAACTCAGAATAAAACCGCAACCTTCACAAAGGCCGACAAGACCTCTGTGATTTGGCCCCTGGCCCCCTTCCTCTCCCATTCCTTAGGCTCACTTGCTCTAGCCCCCAGCATCCCTGTTCTTTAAACACACTGGCACGTTCCTTCCTGCCTTTGGGCCTCGGTGCTGGCTGGTGCACCTCCTGACATCTGTGTAGCTGGCTCCTTCACCAACTGCAGGTCCTTCTCAATGAGGACGACCCGACTCCTGTATTTAAAACTGCCCTCCCCACACTCAGGATCCCCTTCAAGTCTCTCTTTCCCTTTTCCATAGCACTTACCATCTTCTAACACACCGCCCAAGTTCCTCATTCTGTGGATTTTTTTATTGTCTGTCTTCCCCTGTTAGAATGTAAGCCGTTTGAAGGCAGGGGTCTTTGTTTAGTTCTCTGATGTACTCCAAGCACCAGAACAGAGCTTGGCACACAGTAGGAGCTCATCACTGAAACTGGACCATCAATCTATTTAACCCATTCTTTATTGTTGCACATTGAAATGGCTTCTGGCTTTCACTATTATAAGGCATGTTTCGATAGACATCCTTGTACATCTCTGTACACACATCTTTGTGTACTTGTGTGATAACTTCTTAATTGAAAAATCCCCCAAATGGAATTGCTGAGTAAACGGCAGCGACTGCAAACTTAATACTTTAAAATTGCTGAGTAGGCTAAACGAATCTATCTGCTGGCCACCTGACTGTGAGTATCTCAAGGGCAGGAAAGGAGGCACCTCAGACATCACATAGTCCACTCCCCTCATTTTACAGATAAAGAGACTCGGAGAGGTGAACTGACTTATCCCAGTTTGCAGAGGTGATAAGATTGCAGAAGAAGAATCCCAACTTGATGTTCTAGAGTCAAGTCTAGTACACTATTCCATCACACTAGAGGCATTAAAAATGACCACTGAACAATGTCAGTAAATGAAAGTGCACCTAAGATTGTGTGAGCAGGAGAAAGAACGAGAACATAGCAGGCACATACCTGAGAGACCCAGTCTCATGTAAAGCGAGAAGAGACGTCACCTAGCAAGGTCAAGTGGCCACACAGCAAAGGTCCAAGGGGGGAATCAACGTGTCTTGAGCCCTTTCTAAGACAGGCAGCATGCCTACAGCTTTATATCCGTTATCACTTTTCACACCCACAAACCCCGAGTGGTTAAGTATTGTCATCTTCATGGATGAGGAAGCTGGTGCTTGGAGAGGCTGAGCCAACCTAGCCGGCATCCCAGTTAGTGTGCAGTAGGACCAAGATTTGAACCCAGGCCCAGCCGACTGCAAAGCCTGGCTCCTTCCTGTCTCCAGTACCCTCTTCCACCCTCGGCTCTGAACGCTGGAGGGATCAATTTCTTAGAGACGGACCCACCATCAATGACTACATAGGCCAGAAGCCACCATATTTAACTGATCCTGGGGAATATGCCTTCCCAGTAACTGCATCATTCAGCGGTGCCCTCTACCAGACTTTGGGACTAGAATCAGTAATTAGAATGGTGGCTGGTGGGCCCAGAATCAGGACAAGGGATGCAGGAGTCTTGGGAGAGCAAAGGAAACTGAAGAGATCTTTCGCGCTTGCTGTTCCCCCCCACTCTTCCCTGATATTCCGGAAGCTCGTTCTCTCGCCCCCTATGGGCCACCTGCTCAGGGAGCCCTTCCTCATCTGCCTGATTTAAAACTGAAGCCTCTCACCCCGGCACTCCCTAGCACCCGGCCTTTTTATCACACTCTACCACCATCTGGCGGGCTGTATATTTTGTTTGTTTGCCTCTCTTCACTAGAATATAGCAGCTCTATGAATGTAGGGGTTTGGGGCTATTTTGTTTACTGCTGTATCCTTAATATCTAGAATAGTTCCTGGCACTCAGTTTTTTAAAAACAAGTAAATGAATAAAGTATTCAAAGTCAGATCCAGATTCAAATTCCAGTTCTGCTACCCATTAGCTGTGCAACCTTAGGCAAGTCATTTAACCTCTCTGAGCCTCAGTTTCCTTATTTGTAAAATGGAGATAAATTGTTGTGAGGACTAAATGACATAATATAAAAATGAGCCTAGCCCAGAGCCTGGAATATAGTGGGTGCCTAATTAATTACAACTCTTATTATTATTTCATCCAGACCGTGTGAAGTCTGATCTAGAGACTTGTCTCTTATGTGAGTGGAATTTTAACCTCCATGAGTCTCTCTCCCTTCCTTGTGTGGAGTGGGATAAACAATGTTACACTCTCACTCTTTATGTCATCCTCCCCCCACCTTTCCTATGCTCCCATCAATATAGCTTTTTTCTAGTTAAAACAGAATACAAGTGATTGGTTTCATTTATTTTACTTAAAATTACCATTGAGTCCTTGGAATTACCTACATCACCTTCATCAAACATAAGCATTTCTCAGTCTATAAAAGGCTATTCCTTGGATCATTTCTACAAAGGACTTCAATTCTTAATATTATACCGATTTCTAAACTCTGAAGGAATGTTACTTCTTTCCTATAGACTGACTATCACACGAATTAGAATAGCATAAAGAATGATACATATTTGGTGTTTAAATTTGTGGTATTCTTCCTCTTGAAAAGATACTTAAGATTATAATAAGAATACCGAAATTCCTTAAAGTCCAGACCTAACTAATCCCTTCCTCTCCCTCCATCCAAGCTGGGAAGGAAGAGTCAGAAAAGTCGACAGCACTGTTTTCTCCCTAAGACTCAGGCTGGGAAATGACCACTATGACTGGTGGTGACTTAGGGTCTCTGAGTTACAGTGGACAACACAATTTCTATCGTCTCCTCCTCTGCCTTGAAACTCTCTACACTCCAAAGTTCCGGGTTCATAAGGCGAGTTCAGCAAGTACAGTTCTCCTATGCTTATCCTGATTCAGCATAACCTGGCTGGATAACAAGGACACACCAGAATCCACACGAACTTGAGTAGCAAATTTAAAAGAAAGGCAAAGTGTGTTACCGTTTTCAGAAACATTTGAGTTTTCTACGGATCAATGTTTCGGGCTAATTTGCAGATCCCGGGGAATTAAAAATACAAATACCTTCTCCTCTTTTTGAGTTTGTAAGTGGGTGTTCTTTCTGTAAAGTACTAAAGATCTCTCTTTTGAGGTGTCAAATTATATTTGCTTTCATTATGCAATCCTAAACGTGTATCACGTCTTTTAGGGAAATTCTTTCATTTTCCCCTCTGTCGCATACACATATTCATCTTTCTTTCAACTTTTCCATATGCCTTAAGGGATGGTACAGAGCCAACTCAAAGAACATGGCACTGTCAAATCTGGCTAAATACAAACCTGTTAATAAACAAACTACTAAGGTGCAAAATGATGTGAAAGAACACAATATCAAGAACACAGAGCTTCAGGAGGAAAAAAAAATAACTAGTATCTAGGCAGACCGTTTTCCTACACAGTGTGAAGTTGTTATACACTTAGCTATTTTTAGGAATAATCCCTTGAAAGAGAGGAATTATTCTTTCTTTTAAAATAAGAAGTCATGGTGGATAAACACTACATGATCATCCAAATTGGGTTTCCCTAAAATGATATCTGATTTCAAGACACGGAACCTCCTTGACGCCCTGGTAACTGTCTGCAGCTCCCAGCGAGCACTGAGGGCACCGTGATGATTCAGGTGTGTCTCTTAGTTGAGTTTCCTGGGTGCGAGGACCAGGTTTTACTTATTTCTGAGCAGTGCAGCACAGTGGTTAAGACTGAACTCTGGAGTTAGACTTCTGGGTCCATACCCCAACACTGCTGCTTATCAACAGTGTGACCTCAGTTGTTCCTTAACCTTCCTGGGCCTCAGTTTCCTCAACTGTAAAATAGGGATAATAATAGTCTCTCCCTCATTGGGTTACTTTGGGGATAAAGACAATCCATACAAAGCATTTAAGACAATGAAAAATAAGTAAAATGCTAAAAAAAAAGTTATAATATTTACTTTAGTGTTTAATATGGTACTTGGTCCATTAAGAAAAAAGTTCTTTTTTTTCCTGGCCATGCCACACAGCTTGCGGGATCTTAGTTCCCGGACCAGAGATTGAACCCAGGCCATGGGAGTGAAAGCACTGAGTCCTAACCACTGGACTGCCAGGGAACTCCCAAGAAAAAAGTTTTAAATAAGAACATGCAATGAATTCCTTACCATCTTCTACTTATTCCTGTAGTACTATATTATTCTGTACTTGCGAATGTGAGGTTGGTGTGAATTTTCCAGGTACCTATTTTCTCTTCAATTAACAGTAAGTTCCTCAAGGTCAGGGGCAGTGCTGACTATTTCTGGACCCTCCTCCACTGCATGGTTGTCTATAAATGCTGGATGCTTCTGCACACTAGTTATTACCAAACTGCATGACCGTAGATTCCATCTAAATAGCTACAACATTTCTCCTCTGGGTGGAACTGTTCCATTTCCTTCATTTACTGCAATTCAGCATTTTATGTTATTCTGAGATAATGTCCAGGCTTCCCCAGACCACCCAGCTAATCTTTTAAGATTGTCCGCTCTTTCTGTCGACTCAGAATAGAAACATTTTCTGCAGTAACTCTCTTAAAGGATAATGCTGCCTTGCTTGGACAGGGAGCGGCCATGGATACTGGCCATGGATACATGGATATCTCATCTCAATGTCATCTAACATTCCAAGTGGAACCTGACTGTCAGGAATCTTCAACAAATCCGAATGTTCCAAAGAGGAAAACCAAACTAATTTAATACATTTAGTCAAAACCTGCTTTCGAGGAGACTTGGGGGGTGAGGTGGGGGAACAGACTAAATTCCTATAAACATTGCTTCTGTGGATCTAAATCCATCTTCTTCCATCCTTGTCATTTTGAGTCCTGACTTATCAGGATTATACAGCACAGCAACCCCAAAGGATGGCAAGACCTTCAATCATCACAGATTTAAGGACCCTGAAAGGAAGCAGGGCATCGTGTTCTCCACGTGGATTATAGAGCCAGACTCCCTGGGTTTGAATCTCAGCTCTGCCGAATACCAACTGTGGGACCCTGGACAAGGTACCAATATGAGCCAAGTCTCTATAAAAGCGGGGTGACAACAGCAGCTGCCTCAAGGAGTTGTTTGAGTTGATACTCACATTAGTGCTTGGCATACGGTAACCTGTCAATAAATATGCTATTATTATTATGCTTATATTATTATTGTCATGTCATTGCACTTGGTATGTCCAAACCACAGTCATTATTTAGAATCACTTCTCCCCAATTCAACTCTTCTCTGTATTTCCTGCCCATCCAGTTGCTCAAGTCAGAATGCAGCGTCAATCTTGACTCCCTCTCTTTTCCTCATTTCTCACATTTAAATGGTCCTCAGGTGCCAGGTCCCTTCGTGATCCTACCCCTGAAATATCGGACACTTGGCCCCTCTCTGCTCCTACTGCCCAAGCTCAGGCCGATGGTTGCTGTCTTGCCAGGACTGGTAACCTCCCTGCCTCTATTCTCACCTTCTTTAATTTGTCCTTCATGCAGCTTGAACAGTTAGCTTTCTAAAGCACAGACCTGATTAGATCACTCTTGGCTTTACTACGTACTATACAATAAAGTCCAGCTTCCTTAGCCTGGACTTCAAGGATCCTTACCACCTGGCTCCCAGCATGCTCTTCCTGCTTCCTCCACTCTCACCTGCACTCAAGTCACACCTTGCTGCTGGCTCTTCTGAGGATGCTCTTTGTTGCCCTGCCTGCACTGTTCCCTCTTGCCTGAATGTTACTCCTCCATTTCCTGTCCAGCCAGCTTCTAATCATCTAATCATCTTTAGCTAAAAATAAGGCAAAGGTCAGAGCTTGACAGTCTATGAGCTGAAGAAAACTAACATTTGAGAAAGATTTTTAAAAGGAATTTACAAAATAGGTGCTTTCAAAAAATTTTAGTTTGGTAAACCAGAAAACCCCGTTAACCAGAAATTCTCTAAGGTTCATTTATTAAGTACTTCATATATATCAGGCACTTAAAACACATTTTTTTCTCATTTAATATTCATAACAGTCCTGTTGGTTTGACATCATAACCCCATTTTAGAGCTGAAGAAGCTTAGGCTAAGTAATTTGTCCAAGGACACAAAGTAGTAAATGATACAGCTGAGATCTGAAAACTGGTCTATCTGATTCCAAGGCATGTGTTCATAACAGCTGACCACTGTGCTATGTTGCCTCATGTCATGTATGTTTGCCTGTTGGCTCTGATTTGACCTTGGTGTAAATGCATTACCATTCTAAATTATGCACTGGGTCAATGTTTACGTTCTGCTATGCGGTTTTTTTTTTTTTTTTTCTTTTTTTGGCGGTATGCAGGCCTCTCATCGTTGTGGCCTCTCCCGTTGCGGAGCACAGGCTCCGGACACGCAGGCTCAGCTGCCGTGGCTCACGGGCCCTGCTGCTCCGCAGCATGTGGGATCTTCCCAGACCGGGGCACGCACCCGTGTCCCCTGCATCGGCAGGTGGACTCTCAACCACTGCGCCACCAGGGAAGCCCTGCTATGGGGTTTTAATGTCAGCTCCTAGACTGAAGAGGTTAAATGATTTTCAGCACACCACCTGGCATGGCACAAAGTGCAGCTGTGCTGTGTGATGAACCCGGTGGCTTCCGCCTGACCTCGGCCTCTCATTCGTTCATCAGACGCCACAGAAAGCATCTGCTGACCACCTGCCACACGTGAGACAATGTGCTAAACTTACTCCCTTGTCTTCCAAGAACTTGATTACATCGTAGGAAAGCATTCTGGCAAATCTGACTACCTGAGTGCCTCTGGACAACAGGTTGAAATGTCTGCTTTAGAATAAATGAACTGATGGCTTTCAGGGGTGCACGCTCTCCAGAGAAATCCAGGCCCCTCAGCCCCTATGGTTGAGTTTGTCCCTTTTTAGTTACTCAGTAGGTCTGCTAATGCCTATAAAACACATACATATACACGCACACACATTTAATTCAGTAATTCCAACTTTTAGGAGTTATTAAAATAAATATCCTTCCTGGATCAGTAAAATTTTCCTGGCGCTAAGTGGTGCCTATGAACAAAGGAAAGGCTAATCTGTGATTGAGGGTGGTAACCTATAACCATTAGCATACTATGGGTGATAGGCTGAATTGTATGCCCCCAAAACGCACAGGTTGAAGCTCTAATCCCCAGTACTTCAGAGTGTGATTATATTTGGAGATAGGGCCTTTAAAGAGGTAATTAAGTTAAAATGGCGTTGTTAGGGTCACAGAAAGAGTGTGATACACCAGAGCCAGACACATGCATAGAGAAGACCATGTGAACACACAGGGAGAAGGTGGCCATCTGCAAGCCAAGGAGAGAAGCTTCACAAGAAACCAAACCTGTCAACACCTTGATCTTGGACTTCTAACCTTGAGAACTATGAGAAGATAAATTTCTGCTGTTTAAGCCTCCCTGTTTGTGGTATTTTGTTATGGCTGCCCTAGCAAATTAATACACAGAGTGAAATCACAAACACCATAAGGATAACCTGCAGATCCTACCAGCATTAAAACTGGTGCTCGAGGGCTGCTTTGTTCAACCAATAATTTTTAAGTTTTTCCTCTATATTAGGCCCTCAACTAGATGTTAGCAGACTATATAGATAAAGCTTCAAGTTAGTAACGCTAACTTGATGAAAGTGGCTTACACATTTCCCCTCTCTGAAAATGTGTCCCCAGGAAAACACCAGTCACCATGAATTTGTGAAGAGAAGTCACATTAACTGTTCCTTCTCCCAAATATCCCGTAAAATTCAAGAGGTGTAAAAGTCACCTTCTCCTATACCAACATCTTCCAAGGAATAAAATGATCTTACCCAACCCTTCCAGTTCTTGCACTACTTCCTTCCAAACAGGCTCAATATGGATACAGCTAAAGCACCAATCTGAGGTGATCTTAATGAGGTAGGGTTTCTTGAAGCTATCTGGAACCACTTCGTTCACATAATGTGAAAAGTGCAATAAATACTTTTCATCAATTGAGTCTCGCCGTTCAGAATTAAAAGGGAAGTGAAAAAATGGTTCATCAAAATAAAAATTCTCATGGAAATGGCGGAAGCGATACTCTCGCTGCTGCTTCTGGTGGCCCTGGTTCTCCCCGGCATCTCCATAGTGGTCATAATGTGATCTCTTTTCTTCATTGGAAAGAATCTATAAAGAAAGGGGAAAAAAAAATAAGAAATCCGGGAAACGAAGAAAAAAAAAAGAGATCATCTAAAGGACTTTCCTGTAAGCAGCTTGGAAGACATAGGAAAAAAATAAATGTAAAGATACAACACAATTAGATGTTTTAAACACAATCACTCAATATACCATGAAACACTTCTCTTAATAGAAAAATTAAGTATTTCAGAAACAAAATACTTCAGTTGTGTAGCTACTCATGATCATCTTGGCTTTAAAGATTCTGAGCTATCACACTACTAAACACGTCAATAAAGCACAGAAAACTTAATATAACTTTGATCGCTAGGGCTCAACCTCGAGAACGTTGACTCAGTCATACCATCTAGGTTGGAGTCATTCAAACGAAGGTATGGAAAGCTGAGAACACCAAAAAGTAGCCACGGGATTGAATTCTGTGACTGTATGTTAGCTGACTTTGTCTTACTTAGAAGTAACTTTGACGTCTAAAATTCAAGAACCTGTTTTAGGATGAAGCATCATTCTATAAGCCAAGCACTGTCTGTGGAAGAACATTACCCTACACAAATCAGGAAGCCATGGACTTATCTTTCTTGCATATTCCAGACCAACTTACTTAACCTGATACGTTGGAAAACTGTTAAAGACGTTGTGTTTAAATGTATTTGTAACCTTAATTCACTTTAATAAATATAGGCAAATTGTTCTGTGATTCTTTAATATAAGTTTCTAGTATATGTGCTGCCAAAGTGAGCATGTAACATAAGGAAATAGAGACATACGTTCAGGGCGACTCTAAAATTCCATTTAAAGCCTTTAAAATAGGCCAGTTTTCCTAAGAGCTGAGTGTTCAGGTACTAGTTTCAACATATTGGATGTGGCCAAATATGTTGTCTCTATCATCACCTAGAAACGGGGTCAAGGGCATGGGGAACATGCCCTCTCCGAGAGGACTTTACCAAACTGATCACCTAAGATATAGTTTATAAGAGCTAAAAGATACATCACAAAGTTTGCCACGATACCTCGTAAGCTTTGCTAATCTGAATGAACTTGTCTTCTGCTCCAGGATCTTTGTTTTTGTCAGGATGCCTGAAACACAAAGGGGCAGGCAGTGAGGACGGATTTACTGTTCTCTACATGGTCAATTGACATCTTCGTACACACAGAGGCAAAGGGAAGGGCATTCTGTTAGGACAGTTTCTTCAAAATGGGAGAAGCAATTAGTTGCTTCACGTGACTACAGTGAATAAACTGTGAACAAGCAATTTCTTCCCAAAGCGCTTCAGCTGGGCACACGTTCACTGCACCAGATAGCGCTCCAGGCTCTCAATGAGGAAGGGTGGGATGTATATCTGTCTTTACACTGCTCCCAAACACTGCTGGAGCTCAAGGGTCAAGTCACTTATCCGTAAGAACCAACTTCTTTTCCCAGGATGGCAGCATTTCATCCCAATGTTAGAATGGTATCAATGTAGGTATTTCTTCTGACAACTCAGGTAGACAAAGCAAACAGTTTTTAGGATATTCCATGAATTTGTTTAGTAACAACCATGTTCCAAATGGTATCTTGCTGCTGATGTTCAAATTAGAACATTTTAGTTTTCACTATTCCCCTGGTTATCCCACCTGCCTGATTGCCTACTTACAAATGGATAATAATTACAAGGCCACATGTTTTAAAATGTGAGAAAAATCTAGTTTGTACAAAGTGATTTCAACTAATATTGGAACTAATATTTGCTATTATACACAGTTGGCAATTAACTGTATCCATCTTGCTGCCATATATTATTCTGTAATCTTCTTGTACTGGTACCAATTTCAGCTTTGGGGATTCTAAAGTTTTGGAAAGTAGGCGCTGGGTTTTATTTCCTTAGAACCGCTTAAGATCTAAATCAGTGTTTTATACCAACTGATTTTTCAATGTTCATTTTATTAAGAGATTCTATTACAGAGCTTATTTTTTTGTAATCACTCCTGCTAACTTCTAGTACATTTCCTCTAGCAAAGGTTCTGGAAAGAAACAATCCACTGGGAAGCAAATGACTACTAAAAACAGCACCAAGTATATCGGAATAAAAAAAATTTACAACTTGACCAACTTACTCTAGCAGGAACATGTTTGAATGAATTACACCAATATTCTGACTTCTCTAAAAATAAAAAACCTTCAAATTATTGGCTGTTGAATTTAGACATCATTCCTCCCTTAAATATTTAATCCTGTTACGAATATTAGTAGGGAAAAAATCTCAGCTAGATGTCAATGAAAATAATGACTTAAGGAAACAAGATGGTGGTTCCAAAGTATGTTTCTAGATGACTGGAAAAAAAAAAAGTACTTTCAATGTTCCAACTTAGGCCAAAGGTTGAGAAGATAAAAATTATGCAATTGCACAAATGAAGATTTAACATACAGAACTCTGTAGGGGAAGAAGGGAAGGGTAGGAAGGAGCTTTTAAGGAGACTGAACCAAAGACAGACTATTGAGACCTGGGTTAAAACCACAGATCCTGAAACAGAGGAATCCAAGGCCCAAGAACAAGGAGGATACCATAAGACGGTTTTAGCTTATAAGGAATATTTTCCTTATTACAGGAAGATACCACAAAGTTGAAAACATTTAGAAAAGGATAAATTCAGCTCTAGGAAAGTACCATCTAATGCTATTTTCAGTGTACATGAAACATTTCACAGACTACAATATTATACACACCCTTTAAATTTCAAAGTGAAGAAAATACTGTACTTGGCATCTACTGGCTGTCTAATGCTACCTTTAAGGGAAAAAAAACAAAGGTAGAAAAAGTAATATAGGAAAGTATCAGACCAATCAATTACTGTTGGGGTGAATGACTACATTATACCCATTTGCTTCAAATCAAATTCTATGATGCCTTTTTCTTGGGGTGGGAGGAGTTATTCTGCCGGTGTAGATGACAAAAGAAAAGTACCGATAATAAAACTTAATTATTGGGAGAGAAACAGTTTTTCTGAGATAAAAAGTAATTTAATATGGTTTCTGGACTACCTGCCCTTTGTTGCAAAACCTCTATATATCCTAGCTCCCCCCATCGCCTCCTCGGAGCAGTTCTCTCAGGATTACTTGAGATGCTGCCTCTCGGGCTTGAAGCCCTAAAAATTCTTGCCAAATAAAACTCTCAAAAAAAAAAAAAAAACCCACCAGAGGTTTCACCAAGCAAAGGGAAAGCTCTTGAGCAATGTAAGAAATACTATTAAGTGGTGAGACAGCAGAGGAAGGTTACAAATCCAATTCAATAATGAACCATTCCCCACTGTGACAGCTCATTCTGAAAAGACAAACTGGGAAACTGCTATTTTCAGTGTACAGCTGACCCTCGAACAACATGGGGCTCAATGGAACTGCACAGTTCAAACCCATGTTGTTCAAGGGCCAACTGTATATGAAACCATTATGAAATGAAACAAACTGTTTCATTGATAAAATGCTGCCATGGCCAAAACAGCAGAAAATAATAGTACAGTGAAAATACAAAGGTGAAGTCAAATTTTAGACTTTCATTGGATCAAATTTTAGACTTTCTATGGTGACATATTATGCCTAGAGAGACTCTAATTAAGGAGGAGAAGCATATGATTTATTTAATTAATATCATAACACCTTTTTTAGCTCTGGAAGATAGAAAAGTCACAGCTGTACATTTTAATAGATCCCACATAACCAAGCTATCATTTCTGCTTTCAAATTGTGTCAAAGGCCATATCCTGTCCAAAAGAATATTGCTACCTTGTGAATTACTTCAAAGGCCACACTGTGTCTAAAAGAATGTTGTTACCTTATGAATTGCAGATTTATGTATTTTGCTTTAAATACAAAGAGGCCAAGAGTCTGAAATGATGTAGAAAAAAAAGCAACTTTGCTGTAGAGTCCCTGGAAAGAGGCCATGCATAATCAGAGATTGTGTTTTTAGTATCCAATTCTGGGTTCCTCATGATATGAATATATGGTCTAAGATAGTTACATATTCAAAACATTCAAAAGTATATTTTAAACTATCTTTCACCTTTACTGCAACCAACTGAATACTCAGACGCATCTCTCACTGAAGAAAAATGGTGTCAGGCACAGTCATGCACAGCCTGCAGTGTCACCTGCACGTGGCAGCTTTGCTCCTGCATAACTTCCTACCCACCCAGACACTAACCCACTCACTCTCGCTTCTGCCCAGATGGGTAAGTGATTAAAAAAGAAAAGAGCAGGGCTTCCCTGGTGGCTCAATGGTTGAGAGTCCGCCTGCCGATGCAGGGGACACGGGTTCGTGCCCCGGTCCGGGAAGATCTCACATGCCGCGGAGTGGGTGGGCCCGTGAGCCATGGCCGCTGAGCCTGCGCGTCCGGAGCCTGTGCTCCGCAACGGGAGAGGCCACGACAGTGAGAGGCCCGCGTACCGCAAAAAAAAAAAAAAAAAAAAAGAAAACAGCAATAAACTACCTGCTGGTGAGGAAGATCAACCTATGGAACCCACAGGTAATACAGACTTACCAACCGTGAGCCTAGTTCCTCCCCGGAAAAACAGGCACAGCAATATCCGCCCTCAAAGGGTAATTATAAGGTTTAAATGAGATAAACAGCGTAGAACCTGGAGCCTAGCACGCAGTAGGTACTTGATGATGGCTCCCATCCCCGACTTCCTCTGCTTACTTCTGGTTGGTCCACCCAGCTTTAGCCGCCTGTGTCCTCACCATCCCTTCCTCCTCCTGCTGCTCCCCTCCAGCTATATAATCTACCGCTTCTACTGTGTCATGTCCAAGGCATCGGTGGAAGAAACTGATGTTTGTCCAAAATAAGGTTTAAATTTATTGCTAGCCTGCTAAATCACAAACACTTGCTTATTCCCCAATGTCTACAGGTAAAATTAAGAGTTTTCTATGTGATAATTTTTTAAAGTAATGTACTCAGTTCCTGAATATTCTTACTAAATTGAGGGCAAAAAGCTCTTACTATAAAATTTTTTTGAAAGCTTAAAAATTAATAACCTAGACAATAGGACTGGATAGTGTTCCGTTTAGCAATGGCACTCATAAAGAGCTACTCTACGGGGCTTCCCTGGTGGCGCAGTGGTTGAGAGTCCGCCTGCCAACGCAGGGGACACGGGTTCGTGCGCCAGTCCGGGAAGATCCCACATGCCGCGGAGCGGCTGGGCCCGTGAGCCATGGCCGCTGAGCCTGCGCGTCCGGAGCCTGTGCTCCGCAATGGGAGAGGCCACAACAGTAACAGGCGTATCGCAAAAAAAAAAAAAAAAAAAAAAGAGTTACTTTATGAATCACGGGAAGGGCAGCTTATCCACTCTTGACTATATATATATTATATATATATATATATATAAAATTTATAATATATATTAAAAATATATTTATTAAAGTTTCCTCCTACTTACTTTAACATTAAATAAGTGAACAGTATCAAGGCAATTCTTTAAGCCAAAGAATTCCTAACAGGGGGTTTCATAGTTAACAGAGGCTTTGGATCTCATCACTAAAAATTCTAGAATCACACGAATACAAGTCCTTCCACATAAAATACGTTAGACAAATATATATTATATATTTAATGAACACAGAAACAGAGACAAATAAAAGCTAACCATAATTTAGGCTTCATTCTCCTGCTAAAACTGCTTAGCTTATTTTAAACTGCTATTTCTTTGTTTCACCTACCATTCCCGGGCGAGCTTCTTATAAGCCTTTTTAATATCAGCCTGACTGGCTGTTCGGCTGACCCCTAGGACTCTGTATGGGTCAAAATCCAACGCAGACAGAATTTGCAGGATCAGAACCAGAACTATCAAGAACTGCCAGGAAATGCTCAACTTTTTCACTTCCATTTCTCTTCCTTTCCAGAGCTGAAATGATTGAAGAGGCAGTAAGTTTTAGTGGTAGAAATCTGGAGAGTCTTGCTTTCTAGGTAAAGGTATAAGATATACAGATGAAAAACAAAACAAAAGATACTTTGCAGGAAAAGTGCCAAGCTGTTTGACCACATCTTCTTAAATGAACAATCTTGCTACTGTTTTTGAATATCACAAATAAGAACTATTATAGATGAAGAGATGAGCAATAAGAATAGCAATTCTCCAAAATCCTTGTATCAGAAAAGCTTCAGAAATGACTGAAAACGAATGAGAAGAAGAAATAATAAGCAAACGTGGGAAAACATACACAGGGAAATCAAGGCAACTACATCTCAAATACACTATTTCACTTATTCTGACAATAATAGTTTAAACTTAAAATACGTAGTTAGAGAATACCTCACTGAGCACATGCTAAACAAATTCATGAAATCTTAAGATTTACCATGTGCAAAACTACAAAATGAGATAGTTGTGATGCTCTTGGGAGTTAAATAAGTATAAGAATGAAAGTGAAATACTCTAAAAAAAAAACTGCAGTTACAACTTTGTGTGCCCCAATTCTATTCTTTCTCACCATGCCCATTCAAACAAGAAAATAAGAAGCTGTTCTTTAATCACTAGCAATACTGTCATTACAAATGGAGATCTCAGATGAAAAAAAAGTGGTGAGAAAAATTTTAGTTTGCCACGTGAAGGGGGATTAGTGGCAAAGATCGTAGACCAGGCATGGTCTTCAAATGTTAAAGCTCCAGCTCTGGTGAGTGTAGTGACTGAATTCACTGTGGATTTTGGAAATAATCCTGGCTGGTAAATGAACAAGGTAGTGCTGTACTGCAGGGACATTTACACTCCAGGAGTATGATCTTTGTGATATCACACAATGATTTTTCAAGGGCCATATCTTGGTTTCTCACAAATCACTAAAATTTTAAGGATCAAGTATCTAATATGACATCTTACTTAAGGGAGGCAAAGCTGTAACATTGTGGATTTTGACAAGTGGGAGTCTAAATCCTCAAGAAATTGACTAATCTGATGGCCACTGTTTAGGACTGCAAGCATGCTGAATAAGATCCTAAAACAAACTAGTTTCTTTTCTGTAAAGGCAATCTATAACCTATTCTCTCACAAAACACATACAGCACGCTAAAAACTGAGAAGGTGATGTAGCTACTAATTAAGCACATGGACTCTGGAATCAGACTAACATTGCGGTCTGTCCTCTACCACTTTATGACCTTGGACAAATTACTTAAAACTTGCTAAGCCTCATGTCCTCCTTCATAAAATGGGGGTAAATAATACCACCTTGAAAGGATCAAAATGGGAGTTAAACGTATGTAAAGGATTTACTGAGCACGGGGTCAGCAGCCAATTAGCGGTATTTACTGCCATTATTTTTTCTACCATGCAGTGCAACCAGTGCCTTATTCAACTGTGTCAGTCGCCTCCACTTAAGAGGGCCCAAGTGCCGGGGGGCTGTGTTCTTTTGCTGACAGCTCGACGGTGCCGGCCTCAAGGCAGGAAACAACCTGCCCAACAGGTAGGCTATCGCCCTCGGGCAGTATACCCCGGACCAGGCAGCCGGTCCCAAAGACATGGTTAGCTCTGAGCCCCGCCTCGAACTCCCGCCGGAGGTCGCAACCCTCCAGGAGACAGCCGCATCCCTCGCCGCCCCCGAGAACCCTGGGCCAGGCCCTATCGGCTCCGGGTTCCCCCCGGGCCCAGCGGGGACCGGGAACGAGGAGGAACTGACGGGAGATCCCTGAGCCCGCCCGGCCCCGCCGCGTCTGCGGCTCCGCGCGTCACGCCGGGAAGTAGTTACCTGGAAAGGGCACCGTCCTAACCGGCTGCAACGTCCGTGCTCCAGTTACTCCGCGGGGCCGAGAGCCTCCGGTCCACACCAGCGCTCGCCGGGGCCTGGGGAGGGGAAAGAGGAGGGACGAGCCGGAGGGCAGTCACGTGACACTTAAAGGCCCGGCGCACCAAAGGCGCGGACTGAACAGTTCTAGGGCTTCAACTTTGAAAATCTGTTTTGACCCTTGCTACCCGCCGTCTGCGCGTGGACCTGGCGCGGTTGTCATAGGAACGAGGCTCCTGCTCCGGCTGGATCCAAAAGGATGGTGGCGACCAAAGAGGCTAAAACGTCCTTCCTAGCGAGGCGAAGTCGCGATGCATGATGGGATGCCAAAACACCTCCCCTATCCAGGGAGGAGTTTCCACTTCTACCAGGAGATGGCCCTTGTCTAACAACAGTTGCTGGGGTGGGGAAGCAGTCGCTGGTCCCTATATTCTCTTTAACCCTATTCATAGAATCCTAGAGCGTCAGAGTTGGAAGGGACCTTAGAGATCGTTTCTAGTCCAACTCCACCGTATCCTGATGGGGGAGATTGAGACCCAGAGACGGGCAGGGACTTGCCCAAGGCTTAGAATCCAGGACTCCTAATCCTATATACCCAAAAGCGATCTCCACTCTAGAATGTACCAGGTCCTGTCCTAAGCACGGGAAAGGGATATGTGTATGGTGATGCTGGTGGGGGCGGTGGAGGAGAGGCACAAGTGAGTGAGGTAAACTTTCATTGAGCCAATGACATAGGTTCCTTGGGGATGTAAAGAAAGAGATTTCATGTCCTCCTGCCCTGCTTATTTAGTCTTTATCTCCTGTGCATTTATCACTATCTAACATACTGTATCTTTTATTTCTTTTTTTTATTTATATTGCTTATAATCTGTTTCCTTCCACTGGAATGTAAGCACCTAAAAGCAGGGCTTTTTGGACTTCCCTGGTGGCGCAGTGGTTAAGAATCCACCTGCCAATGCAGGGGACACAGGTTTGATCCCTGGTGTGGGAAGATCCCACACGACGCGGAAGAACTAAGTCCATGCGCCACAACTACTGAGCCCACGCGCTACAACTGCTGAAGCCCATGAGCCCTAGAGCCCGCACGCCTAGAGCCTGTGCTCCGCAACAAGAGAATCCACCGAAATGAGAAGCCTGAGCACTTCAGCAGAGTAGCCCCTGCTTGCTGCAACTAGAGAAAGCCCGCGCGCAGCAACGAAGACCTGACACAGCCCAAAATAAATAAATAAAAGCAGGCCTTTTAAAGTCTGTTTTGTTCGTCTCTATATTCTTGGTGCCTCTACAGACCTTGGCACAGATAAGATCTCAACAAATATTCGGGAATAAATGGATGAATGGGGCTGAGGTTTCACTGCTCAAGAGAATACATTCTAAAGTGGATTCCCGGTTGTGTGTGGACCTTGAGTTGGGCTCGGGTTTAAATCCTACCCGCCTCTGCCACTTACTACCTCTGTGATCTTGAACAGTGACTTCACTTCCTACAGCCCCAGCGTCCACATCTGGGAAATGGAGGAAAAGACTATCACCCTGGTAGGATTGTAGTCAGGGAGAAATGAGGTAATACAATGTAAAGTGGCTAGCACAATGTTTTTTTAATTGAAATATAGTTGACATAGGAGCAATTTTTGAAATGAGGAAATGAGCCGTACAAACGGATCAGAGGACATGATTTCTGCCGGTTTTTTTCTTTATGGGAGGTGCTAGGGTGGGAGGGAGGGAAGAGGGGAATGGGAGACCTATAAGGTGGACTTGGTTGCATGAGACAAGTTTGGCAAAATAAACCAGGATATTTGGGCACGGGGCGGAGACTTATGGTTTCATTGGGGGCAGGGCAGGGGGCTAGAGGGGAATGATGCCCAGGAGAGGGTCGAATGGGGCGGGACAGACCATCGCTCCAGGCATGACAGTCTCTTACTAGAAGAGTAACCCACTCCGAGTCTGCGAAAGCGAAGTGGTAATGAATTCCCGCAGGGGCCCTTGACGGAGCTGCGCGGGTGTGCCCTGGGGGCGGGTCGCACCCTGCGGGCGTGGTAGGGCGCGGGGCCGGAGCCGATGGGCTAGAGGTAGTGAGGTAGCGGGGCCGGGGGGCGGTGCAGTAACGCTGGGGTGGGTTTCGAGGGCGGTGCCTGGGGGCGGGACCCAGGGGCGTGGGGAGATGGGGCGGGGCGGAACGCGGTAGCAGGTCCCGGGGCAGGTCCTGAGGAGAGGGCGGGGCTCGGCGGCCGAAACCCGGAAGCGCTCAGAGGCGGCCGGGGCCTCTGCCGTCTGCCCGACATGGAGGAGGCTGACCGGCGGCTCCTGCGGCAGTCCCGGTTGCGGCTGGTCGGCGAGCTGCAGGTGGCCGCGCTCTGGGACGCTCTGCTGAATCGCGAGCTCTTCACCCCCGACATGATCGAGGACATCCAGGTGCGGCCCACCACCCCCCCAGCCGGCGCCCCCAGCTTCCCGCGCCACGCACACTTCAGGTCACAGATGGGGACAGAGAGGCCGCGCGGAGAGGGTTGCTGAAGCCACACCGTGACTTAATGGCCGAGCTCCCGCCCTCTCCTCTCGCGTCTGTGCCACGCAGTACCCGCTCCCTTTGGGGAACCATTGTCAGGGAACCCCGTTTTCCCGCAGGGCGTCGAGCCCACTAAATTGCCCAGAGGAACCAAACAACCCCAAACGCCTTTTCGAGGGTTTGCTAAAGCGATTCCATCAGAGTACACCGTTAGCTGCTGCAGCGGTGTACTGTTTTTTCCTCTTCTAACGTGGAGGTTCAGGAAACCCATTTGGGCGGTCAGACTGCCTGACACTGTATCCTCTTCGATCTGCAGTGTCCTGGGCTGTGAAGTGGGGACAACAGCAGTACTGTCCTGAGGGCTAAAAGAGATAACGGGTGTGAAACAGTAAAGTTTCAGGCACAGAGTGAGGGCACATCATATGGTAGCTGGCTGTGCCCTGTGCTCCTTGGCCAGCCCCTCATGAGTTACCATTATGTCTTGTAAGGGGTTTGGAGATGAGGGGCCTACTGCAGGTAATGAAGAGAATAATAAAGTCAAACATCTGAGGTTCTCTTTAAAAGCACTGTCATGTCTTTGGCTTATTTGACTCTCCCCACAGGCCTGTGAGGTCAGGAGGGAACAGGAGGTTTTTTTTTTGTTTGTTTGTTTTTTTTTGCGGTACGCGGGCCTCTCACTGTTGTGGCCTCTCCCGTTGCGGAGCACAGGTTCCGGACGCGCAGGCTCAGCGGCCATGGCTCACGGGCCCAGCCGCTCTGCGGCATGTGGGATCTTCCCAGACCGGGGCACGAACCCGTGTCCCCTGCATCGGCAGGCGGACTCTCAACCACTGCGCCACCAGGGAAGCCCACAGGAAGTATTTTTTACCAGAAGATACAGTGGGAATGTGTGGCTTCCTAGAGGCCCTTGCACAGTGCCCTGTGGGCTGCTTGCAGGCCAGTTTCTGCATCATCCAGGAACTTGGCCTGATCCAGTGAGGAAGTCTTTAATAGGATAAATATCATATGGAAAATTGCCAATGAATAATAATATTACAAGAAGTCTTATGAGCATCTGCTGTGTACTGAGGAGTGGAAGTGATTTGAGGCCATACCCTTGCCATCAGGTACATTCACAGGAGTCATAAACTCGAATGTCATTGGAGGCCCAATGGGTGGGCACTAGAGCGGGCAGCCTCTGCCCTGCCCCCCAGCTCCAGATGAGTATGGTTATACCAGAATGTTGGCCCAGTGTTGCCAGGTTAGGGTTTTTTTTTTTTGGCTACGCTGTGTGGCTTGTGGAATCTTAGTTCCCTGATCAGGGATCAAACCCAGGCCCTTGGCAGTGAAAGCGCAGAGTCTTAACCACTGGACCACCAGGGAATTCCCGAGAAGGTGGAAATCTTGATTTCGATGTCGAGTTCCCTGATTTTAAATGTTAGCAAAAATAGCACAGGGAGCTCTTCTCAATATTCTGTAATAACCTAAAGGGGAAAAGAATTTGAAAAAGAATAGATACTTGTATGTGTATAGCAGAATCACCTTGCTGTATACCTGAAACTAACACAATATTGTTAATCAACTATACTCCAATATAAAAAAAAATGTTAGCAACAAATTTGGAATTTTTAAAGAATGTCTTATGAACAATGGGCCACCATTTTGCCACCCCTAGTATGGCGGAACCACATGGATCTGGACTCTCATCTGGCTTTGTTACATATTAGCAAGTTGCAGCACCTTTCTTAGACTCAGTTTCTCTCATCCATAAGGTGGGGATAATTGTAATTTAACCCCTTAAGTTTGTTGAGGAGGACTAAATGAAATGATGCATTTAACACAGTGTCTGTGAGTGTTCAGTAAATGTTGAGAGAAACCAAAACACCATGATTTACTTGCGGAGAAGTAAGCATGCAACTAATTTTGCTAATGAGAATTACCTTCTCAATGATAGTATAGGTCTGTGCTATTCAATATAGGAGCCATTAACCACATGTGGCTATTTCAATGTAAATATGAAGTAATTAAAACTGAACAAAAAATGCAGCTCCTCACTCATATGACCCAAGTTCTCAGTAGCCACGTGTGGCTGATGGCTGCCATATTGGACAGCACAGATAACATTTCCATTATCCTGGAAAGTTCTCTTGGACCACGGTGCTGTAGGATATTTGAGGACAGGGTGATGTCTTATCCCTGTGGAGCTTGCCCAGAGCTGGGCCTCAAAGGACAACCAGCAGATAACCTGATCGCCGTCTCGTTGTCTGGTACCACCATCCTGACACCTGTCAATCTGGACCATTCCTGCAACTTCACAGTCCACCCGATCAATGCCCAAGTCTTGTCAATTTCTGCTCCTTATTTCTCTGGTATGTCCTCTCGCTTTTCTCCATTCCAGCTGCAAAGTCTCTGCCACCACCTGACTTGGCTATGGCCCACTCCCTGCCATTGTCCACCCTACCCCCAGGATGATTTTTAAATTTTTATTATTTATTTATTTTTAATTTTTAAATAAATTTATTTATTTATTTTTGTCTGTGACAGGTCTTTGTTGCTGTGCACGGGCTTTCTCTAGTTGCGGCGAGTGGGGACTACTCTTCATTGCAGTGCACGGGTTTCTCATTGTGGTGGCTTCTCTCGTTGCGGAGCACGGGCTCTATGCATGCGGGCTTCAGTAGTTGTGGCACGCGGGCTCAGTAGTTGTTGCTCGTGGGCTCTAGAGCGCAGGCTCAGTAGTTGTGGCACTTGGGCTTAGTTGCTCCGCGGCATGTGGGATCTTCCCGGACCAGGGATTGAAC